CCAAACTGGGAGAGTGGCTACAGCAGATTCCAGGTAAAACATCAGAGGTCTCTGTCCAGAAGAGCGCAGTCCTAGGAACAGCTAAGATACTGCGCAGAACCCTCAAACTCCCAGGCCTCTGGTAGAGGACCCGAGCTTGAGGATGACACATACCACCCCACGAGGGGTGAGAAAACAGTTTTTTTTTATATATATATATATATATATATATATATATATATATATATATATATATATATATATATATATATATATATATCTCAACATTAGACATAAATATAACCATGAAAGATGTTAAAACTGCATTGAAAGGGAGAAGATATTCAGCTACATGGGAGGATTGATTATGCTATGCCATGTTTCCACAGATTCCGCAAGTAACATTGAAATTAATATTAAAATTGTTTTAAAAAATATAGAAAGAAGATTTAATACCAAATAGCTGGAAAAAGGCAACAATACTTTTATTTAATAAACCAGAGAAAGATCATATCAGTCCAAATAACTATAGACCAATAGCTTTAACTTTTAATTAACATAAATGGATGGAGAAAATAACGGTCAATAAATAAGGGTTTGTTCTTGAGCATAAGAAATTAATTAATGGATGTAAGTGTGGCTTTAGAACAGGGAGATCAACAATGGGGGTGATGCTGTCGTTTTTGTAGTGTTGGTTGTATTTCTCATTTAAAAAAGTAATGTGCTGAAATATATTGCATGTTATATTGACATAAAAAAGCAACTCAAACATTTTGAAGGCTAATCTACAAAGACAGCATAAGAGTATATAGCATCACGCAAATAGGAAAATACTATAGATTAACAGACATGTACTTGTAATTCAGTCTTGATGTGAACTCTTGAAATTACATGTAATATGTAATTACAACAATGTCATCAATACATGTATATTACATGTAGCCTATATCAATTTAACTCTTTTGGCACATCTGTATTATTATGCTAAATTAACACATTCATTTTGCTGTGATGGGTTAGAATAATAAGTCATTAAATGATTTATAGACTTAACCGACTTCATTACAAATAAGCAATGGCAAGTGCCAATTTTTTTTAAATCATAAATTAATCTACTAATGCTATGAAACAGCAAGTGTGTGTCCAAGTGAGGAATTTATCTTTATTTTAAAAGTCTTAAGCCCCCCCTGAAAATGAGAACATCATCGTTGTTTGATGCTGTAGCGCATGTGTTGTTTACATTTGTTTGATGCTGTAGCGCATGTGTTGTTTACATTGCCAGCGGTCTAACTAGGAGTACCAATATGGCGGCTTCACTCCAGCACGTACTACCAACGGTCTATCAGCAACAGCAGCAACACGACAGCAGATGGCGACGAAGGTAACCCTTTTTAAATCGAAAACATGGTCATACTCACTCTTTGTTGTTATTTTGCTGATGTCCACAGCTATCGCCTCGTCTTCATCGTCAAGTTTTGAATACTGTTTAAAATATATATAAATATTAGCATACATTATGTGTGCAACACTTTGACCACAGCATTATGCTAAAAAAAAAAAAAGACCGAACTGTTGCCGCAAACAGACCTTGTCGACGATTCTATCCAGAGTCCTCTTAAACTCGGCTGTATTATCATTTAAGTGTTTAACGAAATTCAGTTCCATCCCGCGTTTAAACAACATGGAAGGGCCTAAAATAGAGATTAGAGAAAGTTTTCGACCAACAGCGTAAAAAAGTTCTTCTTCTTATTCTTCTTCTTTTCTATCATGGCGGATCGCAAGCAACTTTAAGGTGCATACCGCCACCTACTGTTCATGAGTGTGTAGCAACATTGTTTTACGTCTATTAAATTCTCTTTTTTAAATTTTGTATTCTGAAGACAAATAAATCATGCTTCCCTTAATCTATAAATATCCTTTATATTTCCTTTATTTCCCAATAATCCTTTAAGACTTCATTCTTGGCCTGTCCTTTCAACTACTCTTCTCAATTTCTCCCTTTCAGGTTCATATGTTTTACAGTTCATCAATACGTGTTCTACATTTTCTATCTCTCCACATCCTTCACATTTATCATTATTGTTCCTCCCTATTAAGTATAAATTGTCATTTAAATAAATATGACCTACTCTTAATCTGATCATTATTATTTCTTCCCTTCGGTTTCTCTCATTAATATTTCTATTTAATACTGACTTTTGTACTTTATATAACCTTCTTCCTTTTTTATCTTCATTCCACCTTTTTTTTTTGTGCCATTTTTAAATTTCTTTCCACTTAATAAATGATTTTCCTTTCCCTTTCCCTAAAGGAATTGTAATTGTTATTGCCTCCTCTAAAGCCCTTTTTGCTAATTTGTCTGTCTTTTCATTTCCTTTTACCCCTTCATGTGCTGGAACCCAACAAAACCAAATATCAATGCCACTCCTGTATAATCTAAATAAACTGTGCTGAAGTTCTAATACTAAATCTTTCCTATTATTTCCTTCTCCCTGAATACTTTCTAAAACTGCTTTGGAATCCGTTCAGACCACCAACCTGTCTGGTCTGACCTCCTCAACCCATTGTAAACTCAGTATAAATATGCCACCATCTCTGCTGTGAAAACAGAGAGTTGATCTGAAATTCTTTTAGAAATGTGTATTTTGAACTCTGGTACATATATTCTTATTCCCACACACCCTTTTAAATTCTTAGAACCATCAGAATATATTTTAAGGTAATTATAATATGAGTTTCTTAAATATATATCAGTCTGTATCCCTATTTCGTTTAAATTCCAATCATTTTTTCATTTTAATAAGTCTCATGTCTACATTTATCTCAGGAAATAGCCATGGAGGAATAACACTAATTGGATTAAACTGTGCTATTTCCTTATCCTCTAATCCAAACTCTTTAATCAATTTGCTTATAACCCATCCAAATCCATTATTATGGAACTTTTAATATTCCCAACAAGTTTGTAGAATTGTTGAAGTCACATTTTCATCCATACTTCTTTTAATTTTCATCCAATATAATATACCTAATTTCATTCTTCTCATTTCCAGTGGAGTTTCTCCAGTCTCGACTAAAAGAGCGTTGATAGGTGTTGTTTTCACTGCTCCTGTACATATACGTAAAGCTCTACTCTGTAACCTATCTGTCCTTTGTAATGTTGTTTTAGCTGCTGCTCCATAAATAAAAATGCCATAATCTATTATTGATCTCATGAATTTTGAAGTTCTTCTTCATCCTTCTCATTTAAATTTAAGGGGGTCGGGAAACAGCGGGAATGTGTATTACCGTCACCTAATGGTGTCTGGTGCAATATCACAGTGCTGTTCTACCAAAGAAAAAATATAAGAAATATAAAACAAGTCGGATTTGATAAAGCGTCCAATCATTGTCACAGTTTTTTTTATTATTAATGTCAATAAATCTATTTAGATTGTATTTACTTAAATAAAACCTAATTTACATTTCATTAGCTATCATAATTCTTTCCGATCGACGTCAACTGCATCACTAGTTCCTTACTGAATTACTACCTTTTATTTAAACAAAAAACAGCCGCGTTGTTGATGTATAATAAAAAAAAATGTCTTAATCATTAAATATTACAAGATTGCTCTCTGGAGTGAATAGACCTTTAAACTTCCCAATATAAATGTAATGTACATAGATCAAATAATATTGGAGAAGAGTTGAGGAAGGGAAGAGGAAAAACTTTATTAGAGAAAGAGGAAGACAACAATGTAATTAATTTACCTTTTTCGATAGTGGAGTTAAACAGCCTTGAGGAGAGTTAAGACATCAACTCCAGGAAATGACCAAATGTTATATAACGATTAACAAACTCAGTGGGTATTTAAAAACTGTATTATTAGAATTATATAATAGAATTTGGGATAGTGGTAAATTATCCAAAACTTGGAAAGAAGCTATAGTGGTTCCAATACCTAAACCTGGAAAAGATTGCTGAGGACCTGAAAGTTACAGACCAATTGCCCTAACATCGTGTTTGTGTAAAGTTATGGAAAAAATGGTCAATGAAAGACTGAGTTATTTTGTTTAATATAATGGATATATACCCAAGTATCAAAGTGGTTTTAAGAAAAGGGAGGAACACTATGGACCCTGCAGTATGCTTACAGCATGAGATAATGAAAGCAAAATTTAATAAAGAGAGTGTGTTGGCAGTGTTTTTAGATATAGAAAAGGCATATGATGTGGAGAGAAGGATTAATGATTAAATTGAGGAAAATAGGAATTTGTGGTAGAATTTATAACTCGAGAAACAACTTTTTAACAGATTGGGCAATAAAAGTAAGTGTTGGTATGCAATATTCAGGGAAGTATTGGATAGAAAGTGGTACTCCGTAAGGCATTATAATTAGTCCTTTATTATTTTCTATTATGATAAATGATCTATTTAAAGAAATAGAAACTTTTATGGGGTGTTCACTTTTTGCAGACGATGGAGCTATTTGGGAACGTGGAAAGAATATTAAATATATTGTTGGAAAAGGACAATAAGCAATTTAAAAAATAAAAAAGTGGTCTCATAAATGGGGTTTTATATTCTCAGCTGATACAACAAAAGTAATAATATTTACAATTAAAATTAATCAGGAGATCAAATTAAAGATATATAATCAGGAACTAGAAAGAGTTAAACAATTTAAGTTTTTAGGGGTGTGGTTTGACGAAAAATTAACCTGGAAAATAGATATTGAAAAGCTTATTGAAAAATGTAAAAAGAATATTTTGAATATAATGAGATGCGAAGTTGGGTATGAATGAGGGCAAATAGACAAGCACTGAAAACAATTTACGTTTGTCTTATTAGATCTACTAGTGATTATGGTTGTATAGTTAATGGATCAGCATCTCAAACAGTTCTCAAAAAATTAGATATTATTCAAAATCAGGCTTTACGATTAATTACTGGAGCAATTAGGACGACCCCAACTTCTGCCTTACAGGTAGAGGTTGGGGAAATGCCATTGACTTTAAGGAGAATGCAGCTTTCATTAAACTACTGGGTGAATATTCAGGGACACAGTCTGAACCATCCAAAGCAGTCAACTTTCCAGCCCTGCTGAGAGAAGGAAAGAGCAAATAATAAATAATTTGGTTGGTCAATTTTACAAACAGCAACAGAGTTAGAATTAAATCAGTTAGACATGAGTCCAGCTGTTCATTAGCTAGATCACCACCCTGGATTTTACCTGATGCTTCTTTTAAATTTCTTTCCACTTAATAAATGATTTTCCTTCCCCTTTCCCTAAAGGAATTGTAATTGTTATTGCCTCCTCTAAAGCCCTTTTAGCTAATTTGTCTGCCTTTTCATTTCCTTTTACCCCTTCATGTGCTGGAACCCAACAAAACCAAATATCAATGCCACTCCTGTGTAATCTAAATAAACTGTGCTGAAGTTCTAATACTAAATCTTTCCTATTATTTCCTTCTCCCTGAATACTTTCTAAAACTGCTTTGGAATCCGTGCAGACCACCAACCTGTCTGCTCTGACCTCCTCAACCCATTGTAAACTCAGTATAAATATGCCACCATCTCTGCTGTGAAAACAGATAGTTGATCTGAAATTCTTTTAGAAATGTGTATTTTGAACTCTGGTACATATATTCTTATTCCCACACACCCTTTTAAATTCTTAGAACCATCAGAATATATTTTAAGGTAATTATGAGTTTCTTAAATATATATCAGTCTGTATCCCTATTTCATTTAAATTCCAATCATTTTTTCATTTTAATAAGTCTCATGTCTACATTTATCTCAGGAAATAGCCATGGAGGAATAACACTAATTGGATTAAACTGTGCTATTTCCTTATCCTCTAATCCAAACTCTTTAATCAATTTGCTTATAACCCATCCAAATCCATTATTATGGAACTTTTAATATTCCCAACAAGTTTGTAGAATTGTTGAAGTCACATTTTCATCCATACTTCTTTTAATTTTCATCCAATATAATATACCTAATTTCATTCTTCTCATTTCCAGTGGAGTTTCTCCAGTCTCGACTAAAAGAGCGTCAGAGCGTTCCTCATTAATGGAGCTCAGGAGAGAACAACTAGCCATAAATTACTGGGTAAACATTAAAGGATCTAAAGAAAATCGTCCTCCGTATGTTACACTGCAACCATGTCAAGAAAAAGAAAAGAAAAAAATTTATAGTTTTGGATGGACAATTATGAATAAAGTAAAAAATGTAGGAATAGATAACTTTGTAATCAGTCCTGTGGTTGTTATTCCTGCTATTCCATCATGGATCTTTGGACAGGCTGATGTTGATTTAAATTTATTGAGAAAAGGGAGACAGTTAGATAAAAAAAAGAGGTGGAAAATTATATTAAAAAAGAATATTCAGAGTATATACAAATTTATACAGATGCTTCTAAAACATTAAATGATAAAGTAGGTATAGCATTTGTAATCCCAGATTTAAATATTATGAGGAATAAAATAATAACAGATAAATTGGCAGTGTATACAGGTGAATGAATGGCTATCTTAATGGCTTTAGAATGGATTGAGGAAACAAAAGAAGGGGAGGTTTTAATTTGTTCAGATTCAAGTAGTGCATTAATAAGTATTCTAGAATTTAATTCAGAGTTTAGAATTTAATTATATCGGATATTCTTCACTTAATTTTTAGGATTAAAAATGGTGGTTCTGTTGTTAAATTAGTCTGGATTCCTGCTCACATTGGTGTTATCGGTAATGAGTTAGCTGACAGTTTTGCTAAGAGTGCTGTAAAAAAGGATGTTGATTTAAACATTAACATTAGTAAAAATAAGTTAAAGAATTTTATAAAAATGTATTTCAAGAAGAAATGGCAAGAACAGTGGGATAAAGGAGGGAATGCTAGATTTTATTATAGTATTAAAAAAAAGGTTGGAGAATTAAGAAAATGAAATAGAATTAAAAAAGAAGAAGAAGATATTATATCTAGGATAAGGTTCGAACATACAGGATTAAATAGTACTCTTAAAATAATACATAATACAGGGTGTTGTATTTATGGGGAATTAGAAACTGTCCAACATATTTTTTTAGAATGTAATAAATATACTCAGGAAAGAGAGATGTTGCGTAGAGAGTTAGACAGGAATAAAAATATACTAGATATAAGGGAATTGTTTCAAAGGTCATCTGGGGATGTAGTTTTTGGGAGTATTTTTAATTTTCTAAGAAGAACGGGTATTTTAGGGAGAATATAATAGTTTGTCTGATCCATACTCCATTCTGGAAGGTGGCGGTAATGCACCTATAAGTTGTTTGCCAACCGCCATTAAAAAAAAAAGAAGAAGAAGAAGAAGAAGATGGGGAGGTGGAAGGCCGGAAAGATTGCATGTGGATGGTCGTTTGGTGCATGGCGCGTGTTTTGAAGCTGCTTATGGAGAAATGTCTTGGGCCGTGAGTAGTGAGGAAACAGGAAGCGATTCTTGTGGGATGGAAGAGGGAAATAGTGACAATGAAGGTTGGAAGATAGCAACATCAAAAAATGAGAAAAAGCGGAAAAAACAGAGATCAGTTCAAGGGGAATCTAGTTCAGAACAATCCAGTGATGATCATTCCATACATTCCACAGCACAACAAAATGAATTCAAAGTCATATTCAAAGTCGTTAATCAGGCAGACTCTTTTACAAATTGGAATCCGGTTCACTTAACAAAAACCATCAATAAACTTGTCGGAGAAGTCAGAGGTGCCAGAATTCTGTACAGTGGAGACCTGCTAATTATCTGCAGAGACAGCGCCCAGCAAGGCAAAGCAATACGGATCAACAAAATTGACGGGATAAGAGTTCAGTGCAGCTTAATGGAGAACAAAAAGTTCAGCAGGGGAGTCATTGGAGGAGTTCCTCTAAAAATTTCTGAAAAAGAGATTCTGGAAAACATAAGAGGTGCAAAAGTAAAAGAAGTAAAACGGTTAAAAACAACAAGAAACGGAGAAAGATCTGACAGTTTATCTGTGCTAATTAAATTCGAAGAAGAGCAATTACCAAGCAAAGTATTCATCGGTTACATAAGCTATAATGTCAAAATCTACAATCCTCCACCATTGAGATGTTTCAAATGCCAAAAATTCGGTCACATTGCAGCAGTTTGTAAAGGGAAACAGAGGTGTGGAAGGTGTGCAGGAGAACATGAGTACGGAAAATGTGGAAAAGAAGCTAAAATAAAATGCTGTAATTGTGGTGGAGAACATACTGCTGCCTATCGCGGCTGTGAAGCAAGCAAAAGGTCTGAGGAAATTAAAAAAATGAAATTTGAGCTCGGAATAACCTACGCTGAAGCTGCAAAAAGGATCCCATCTCAGTCAGAAAAACCCAAACCTACAGTTCAACACACAGCAAATTCCAAACCTCTAGAGAAATCTCTAAAAATTGATGAAGACTCACTTATTGTTAAAAAGACAAATTTTGTTCTTTTCATGGTAGAAGTTATTAATTGTACTGCACAGACAACAAAAAAAACGGAAAAAATCAAAATAATAGTGAAGGCTGCAGAAAAATATCTGGACATTAAAGATTTGAACTGGGAGATGGTTGGAAGTATGATGGGAGGACCGATGGGACCATCAGAAACTGGCAGAGTTAAGATGACCTAGAGTAAATTAAAATTATATGGGCAAATGTGATTTAGTATTATGTTGGTTTAAGTTACACAGGTTTTTTTTTTTTTTTTTTTTTTTTTTTTTTTTTTTTTTTTTTTTTTTTTTTTTTTTGGGGGGGTGAATCGTTTCCTGTTTTCTTGCTTTACTCCATATCAGTTGGTGGCGGTAATGCACAATTCACAAGTCTGCCAACCGCCATAAAATCCCATAAGAAGAAGAAGAAGAAGGCCGGAAAGATTGCATGTGGATGGTCGTTTGGTGCATGGCGCGTGTTTTGAAGCTGCTTATGGAGAAATGTCTTGGGCCGTGAGTAGTGAGGAAACAGGAAGCGATTCTTGTGGGATGGAAGAGGGAAATAGTGACAATGAAGGTTGGAAGATAGCAACATCAAAAAATGAGAAAAAGCGGAAAAAACAGAGATCAGTTCAAGGGGAATCTAGTTCAGAACAATCCAGTGATGATCATTCCATACATTCCACAGCACAACAAAATGAATTCAAAGTCATATTCAAAGTCGTTAATCAGGCAGACTCTTTTACAAATTGGAATCCGGTTCACTTAACAAAAACCATCAATAAACTTGTCGGAGAAGTCAGAGGTGCCAGAATTCTGTACAGTGGAGACCTGCTAATTATCTGCAGAGACAGCGCCCAGCAAGGCAAAGCAATACGGATCAACAAAATTGACGGGATAAGAGTTCAGTGCAGCTTAATGGAGAACAAAAAGTTCAGCAGGGGAGTCATTGGAGGAGTTCCTCTAAAAATTTCTGAAAAAGAGATTCTGGAAAACATAAGAGGTGCAAAAGTAAAAGAAGTAAAACGGTTAAAAACAACAAGAAACGGAGAAAGATCTGACAGTTTATCTGTGCTAATTAAATTCGAAGAAGAGCAATTACCAAGCAAAGTATTCATCGGTTACATAAGCTATAATGTCAAAATCTACAATCCTCCACCATTGAGATGTTTCAAATGCCAAAAATTCGGTCACATTGCAGCAGTTTGTAAAGGGAAACAGAGGTGTGGAAGGTGTGCAGGAGAACATGAGTACGGAAAATGTGGAAAAGAAGCTAAAATAAAATGCTGTAATTGTGGTGGAGAACATACTGCTGCCTATCGCGGCTGTGAAGCAAGCAAAAGGTCTGAGGAAATTAAAAAAATGAAATTTGAGCTCGGAATAACCTACGCTGAAGCTGCAAAAAGGATCCCATCTCAGTCAGAAAAACCCAAACCTACAGTTCAACACACAGCAAATTCCAAACCTCTAGAGAAATCTCTAAAAATTGATGAAGACTCACTTATTGTTAAAAAGACAAATTTTGTTCTTTTCATGGTAGAAGTTATTAATTGTACTGCACAGACAACAAAAAAAACGGAAAAAATCAAAATAATAGTGAAGGCTGCAGAAAAATATCTGGACATTAAAGATTTGAACTGGGAGATGGTTGGAAGTATGATGGGAGGACCGATGGGACCATCAGAAACTGGCAGAGTTAAGATGACCTAGAGTAAATTAAAATTATATGGGCAAATGTGATTTAGTATTATGTTGGTTTAAGTTACACAGGTTTTTTTTTTTTTTTTTTTTTTTTTTTTTTGGGGGGGTGAATCGTTTCCTGTTTTCTTGCTTTACTCCATATCAGTTGGTGGCGGTAATGCACAATTCACAAGTCTGCCAACCGCCATAAAATCCCATAAGAAGAAGAAGAAGAAGAAGAAGAAGATGAGAGTTATAACTGAGACAGCCCTTCGTTATGTGCAGGTGAAGTTATAGAGCATGCGGTCAGTGAACGCCTCATCAGAATGCCTGCTCGGAGCCTCCAGGAGCTCGTGTCCACCGCGGCCTGCCTGCATGCTGACCGACCCGCCGTCCTGTACGACGGAGGGCCCGGAGGCCCGGTGTCTTTGCTCTACAGAGAGGTGGTTCAGCTTGCCGAGGATCTGTCTGCTGTTTTGCTGAAGTACTGCTCAAACAGCGGTGTAATCGGTCTCTACTGCAGCGATGATCTGCTGGTTCCTGTCTGGATTCTGGGGTACGTTTGGTTAACATTATATTTTGTCACCTTTTGTGTTTCGGAGTTTGTCTCACCACTTAACATTATCTGTCAGGATCCTGCAGAGTTCTGCTGCTTATGTTCCTCTGGACCCAGAGTCCCCTGGACCTTTTTCCGCCAGCATCATGAGTCGGTGTGGCCTCCAGTTCTGCGCTGTGAAGAGGGACCTTGTGCAGGTTGCATTTATTTCGGTTTGGCAAATCCAGTCACATCCCCCTTGCAAACATATCCACATCCTTTGGAATTTGACTGATTTTGCAATGTAAAAAACACACCATAACCATGACCGTATGACCATATACATGTATGTAGGCTGAGGCTGTGAGGTGATTCTCAGAGAGAGATCTGAGAAGTCTGTTTAGTTTTTCTTTTTAAAGTAAAGAGCGAATAAGCTGTGCTTACCTGCACTGTCTGCCCCTCATTGTTTTATTTTATTCTCAAAGAGGATCATTCACTACTTACAGTTTTTCTGTTTTCCTGAGCAAGTATCATAAATAAAATATTGATTTTTTTTTAATGTATTAAAGTATTGTTTATGCAGGAGTCTGCCTGCGACTCCAAACCTGACTGTTTTCTCTTGCTGTTGACAGATTTCAATTTGTATTTCCCCTGCAAAGTGGATGTGTTTTACTTTGTAACCATGTCTCTCTTCATGAAATTGCATCTGCATTGCTGCATAGTCTGACTAAAATAGACCTGGGGTCTATCTCAGGTGAAGTTACTAAAGCCCAATTCTAGAAAATCATGCCAGGTGTGATCATCCCCATTAACTCTCAATAAGCTCTAAACGCACAATTTTCTGTCTGATCAGACGGAGATGCAGATTCTGTGTGTACTGGAAGAAAAATATTTTCTTGTCACAGCTTTATCTATTTGATTCTAATCTTTTGCTCTTCTTTACTCTCCCTTAAAGCGATTCCAGGAATCTCTGGTCGATCACTTCTCTGTGGATGTTTGTTTAGAGCTGCCAGAGTTCAGATTAACTTTGATGCACATTGAGCCCCATCCAGCCTTTAAGGATGGACCTCAGAGCACGGAGAGATCTGTTCCAGATTCAGGCCACCCAGATTTGGCTTATGTGCTACACACATCTGGAACAACAGGTCCTCCAAAGACTGTCAGGGTACCACACATGTGTATCATCCCCAATATACTAAACCTGAGGTTAGTCTGGCTCTTTGTTTTTAGTTTTCGGATGAAGATCTTTGTTCTTAATGTGTTCTGAGGAAGCAGATTGTCTCTCTGCTCAGATCTCTGTTCCAGATGAGCACGAATGATGTGGTTTTCATGGCCTCCCCCTTGACTTTCGATCCCTCCGTGGTAGATATCTTTCTGGCCTTGTCCTCTGGCGCTCTGCTCCTCATGGTCCCTGCAGTGATCAAGAAGATGCCCGGTCGACTCGCCCAGCTGCTATTCAAAGATCACAGAACTACAGTCCTTCAGGCAAGCCGCAATGGTTTCTACAGAGTCAGTGATACTCCTCATTGATGACCGTTTCCTTTGATCTTCTGTGCTTTAGGCCACGCCCACTCTGCTGACACGGTTTGGTCATCATGTTCTGAAAGGGGATGTGCTGTCGCCTGGATCCTCGCTGCGGGTGCTGGCTCTGGGTGGAGAGGCCTGTCCTTCTCTGGCTCAGCTGAGGAGCTGGAAACACAAGGACAATCAGACATCTATCTATAACATCTACGGCATCACTGAAGTCTCCTGCTGGGCCTCCTGCTACAGGATACCAGAACTTCTGCTGCGGTCCGACACCCTGTGAGTGTTTTAAAATCTTCAGGATCCCACTTTTTTTTTTTCTTCATTAAACATTTGCAGGCCTTTGTAGGATGCCATCCTCTGTGGCTCTTGGGACTCCCCTAATGGACACGCTGGTGGAAGTCAGGGATAAGGGAGGCTGTGTCATCACAGAGGGGGAAGGACAGGTGTTCATAGGTGGGACAGAGTTTTTCTGTTGCAATCTCAATTTTTTTTTTTTATACAAATTTTAAAAACATAAGGTTCTTTTATTTTCACATAAGGTGGACAAGACAGGGTGTGTCTTCTGGACAGTGAGGAAACTGTTGTCCCGGGGACAATGAGAGCCACTGGGGACTGGGTGAACGTCAAAGACAAAGAGCTGCACTATCTGGGCCGGAGAGACAGGATGGTTAAACGGAATGGGAAACAGGTGAACCTGGACAGCGTACAGCAAGTAAGTTAGAACCTTTCTTAGGTTGACACGCAAAACACCAAATTCTATTGGTGATTGCCATGGCGGTGCTCCAAAGCAGCGGCCAAGAAAAGGTTCCTCTCGACAATTTCTATAATTTCACATAATATGCCGCTTAATACGATACAGACTAGACATCAAACCTGCTTCTATGATTGTCAATGCCTGCTGGAGACACGGTCACAAAATGTTTTAAATCCAGTCATTTTTGACCGTTTGAAAAAGCTGCAGAGTGCTACAGACGATGTAAAAAAAAAACAACAGCAGAACATAATGGTAGGAGGAAGAGATGCGCAAGATGGAGAGACCGAGGCTGCAGAGGGGGGGCTAACTGTGGAGCTAAAGAGAAATCCCCACAGATCTCCACTTCCATCAATCCTGCTCTCCAACGTCCGCTCGTTGGATAACAAAATAGATAATCTCCGACTGAACTGTCTTCAAGAAAGGAGATATGCAACTTCTGAAGAGTCTTGGCTGCATCCTGCAATACAGGACAAGGCTATTGGCCTGGAGGGCTAACGCTGTACTGTGCCGATAGGAACAAAGAACTAAGCGGTGAGACTCAGGTTGGCGGGCTATGCGTTTACATCAACAACAGCTTGTGTAAAATGCTAGATAGGTCACCAGCTTCTGCTTTCCATACATTTAGGTTCTGACTGTTAACTGCAGACCGTTCTATCTGACCAGAGAGTTCAGTGTGGTTAACATTACCGCTGTTTGTGTCCTCCACAGCGCTAACACTAAAGAGGCCATAAAGACTCTATACAAGGCTATCTCTGAGCTCCAATCTGCACACAGAAGGTGTTTTCATCGTTGCTGGGGATTTTAACCATGCTAACTTGAAGACTTTTCCCCCCATTTCTACCAACATGTGGACTTTGCAACTCGGGGTGAAAACATTTTAGTCCTGGTTTACTCTAACATCAAAGATGCATTCAGAGCAGCCCCCCCGCCCCCACCTCGGTTCATCAGATCATCTCTCGGCCATATTTATCCCTGCATATAAGCCCCAGCTGATCAGGGCTGCACTTTCAAAAAAAAAAAAAAAGAAATTGTCCAGAGAGCTGTTCTAGATGAAATGTATTTTTGTTTTTCACAAATAAATCTTTCTAAGTCTATTGATACATGGTGATGGTGGCATCGTGGTTTGGGAAGGGATTATTTTTTCCAGCAGAGATGTAGAATATGGTCACAGTTGATGGATAGATGGAGATAAATACAGGGAAATCCTGGAGGAAAGGCGGCTTTAGAGTCTGCAGGATGCTGAGGAACAAGTTCACCTCCAGGAGGATAATAGTTTGTAGTGACAAGGCAAGGACAGAGGAATAACCCAAACTCTCAGATTCTAAGTAATCAAAGTCTATAGAGACATATCCTGAAATATTTCCACCTGTAATTGCAGCATAGAGGGTTCTATGTGGTTTTCTGCCCAAAGTTTTAAGTTCTGGGAGTATTTTTCTCTTCCAGCTGATCCAGAGTCTGCCTCAGGTGGAGGCCTGTGCTGTGGGTCTCTGGGAAGGCTTCCGACTCCTCGCCTTCATCGTTGTCAGTAGTGACGCAGCTCATCTCCACACGGGAGAGCCGGATGGAGTCGACGGGGATCTGCGAAGGCTCATCCTGAGGCAGCTGTCTAAGCTGGTGTCCTCTCACTGCATCCCGGACACGCTGGTGCTGGTCCCGGCTTTATCACTGACTCCTCACGGTGAGCTTTTGCTCTGCAGCCACACCAGGAGTCCAGAGGGACTCGTTTATTGAAGGCTCTATCTTTTGGATTTCAACAGGCAAAGCAGACATGAAGGCTCTGATGAAAATATACGAAAAACAGAGAGGAAGCTTAGGATCTTCAATGCTGGATGTACGAGGATTAAGGAAAACTATTCGGACTCTATGGCAGGTATTTGTTTAAAACAGCAGTTTAAATCCTCAGTCATCCAGATTTGACTCGCTGGCTTTCTGCAACCTTTATCCTCAGGATGCTTTAGATCTCCCCACTGATGTATCCATTGATGAGAGATCCAAATTCCTGTTCAGTGGAGGGGATTCTCTGAAGGCACTGCGTCTCTGCGAGGACATCCTTGCTGCGGTGGGGGTGTCCTCTCCACACCTCTTGGAAGTTATATTGGACCGCTCCTTTTCAGATGTTCTGCACCATGTAACAGAGATGCTGCAGGGCCGGAGCAGCACTCCTAAGAAACGGGCCGCTGACATGCCGACCACAGTTGCAGTAAAGAGAGGACGGGAGTCTGAGAAGACACCGTTTAAAGTTGTGAGACGAGGCGGTGAGGTGGAAGGAATGAAGGGGAGGAACATCGACACCGGTGGAGAACCGCGTGATAGAACGGAGTCAGGAAACAACTTGAACAATGATTTCAATATTTGCCTCAGTCTGAGCTGGTCCTCAGACACGGGCAGGTGTGTGGACGCCTCCCCGGTGATTCTTGTCCGGGACGTCGCAGATGAGAGCTCCAGAGCCACAGTGTTCATCGGCTCTCACTCCCACAGGATCCAGGCGTTGGACATGCTCAGTGGGAACGTAGTGTGGGAGCGAGTCCTCGGGGACCGAATCGAGGCCTCAGCTGCCGTTTCTCACTGCGGCTCCCTCATCATTGTGGGTGCGTATCTGTTCTCTGACCGTCTCACTGATACGTTCTTTATTTTGTGGATCATTCAATCTAGTTTCTTTGCAGGTTCCTACGACGGCTGCGTCTACTTCCTCTCCACTGAATCTGGAGAGACCAAGTGGGTGTTTAAGACGGAGGACGCAGTGAAAAGCTCTCCTGCTGTGGATCCATTCACTGGCCTGGTGGTGGTGGGCTCACATGATGGGCACGTTTACGCCTTGGATCCACAGGTTAGTGAAGCCAGTCGGTAAATAATGGGTTCTGCCATAGAGGCTGCTGTGGGAGAAACCTCAGGAGATGAGAGGAAGGCTTTAGTGACAGCAGCAAAGATGACCATGGAGGTGATAATGAAGACTTTAATGACTAAATAAGCACCAAGCTGTATCTTTTTCACCAATAGAAATTTTACTGATCTGGTTTCAGGCCAAATGTTGCAGAATGATTCAGCTTCACACAAAATTTCAACAGTGACATCAAGATTGCACACTTTAGTTCATATTTATGCAGTTTATAAGCACAAAAAGAGGTTGATTTAGGACTTATTTAGCATTTAAAGAATCTTTGAAAGCCTGAATGATGCCTTTCTGCTGGAAGTTGTTTTCTGCACAGACTTTTTTTTTTCTCTAAAAGTCCAAAAACACACAGCTGACGTTCCTCAGATATTAAAAAATGTCCTTCAGTGACCTGCAGCTTTTATTTTTGCTTTTGTCCTCCACAAAATAAAACAACAAATAATCCTATGTTTTTTGCTATTTAATGAAAATCTTTGTTACTCTTTAAAGTATTTAAAAACTTAAATCTTTATGTCAAGTTTTATGGTGTTTTTCACCGTTTGTACTAAAGCTTAGCATTGATGGACATGAATGATGTTCTGTGCTGTTTAGCTCCGGCAGTGTCTGTGGAAGCGACACTGCAGTGGCGGAGCTGTGTTTTCTTCTCCACAGCTTCAGTCGTCTCACCGTCGGCTCTACGTAGCATCGCTGGGAGGACGCCTGCTGTGTCTCAGTCTGGTAAGATGTCACACAGCCTTTATGATGTTACAGAAATCCCAACATGCATAGATAAAGATCCAATAAGAACTAGTCTGAACCCTTTTTGCAAAGGTTTTATTGATGGCCGGTTAATTAAATATTTTAGATCCGACCCTGAACAGTTAGGCAATCATCACACGTCTGTGTCTCCTCCAGGACAGTGGGGCCATCCTCTGGTGTTACTGTAGAGACAAACCTTTCTTCTCTTCACCAAATGTCTTCAGTGGACACGTTGTGATTGGGTCAGTGGATGGAAACATCTGCTGCCTCAGTGACGCGGGGGAACTGGTGAGAAAGCACAACTCTGACATTCTGCTGGATTTTTTAATTATTTATTTCAAATGTCTCAATTTATGACTTTAAGACCTATTTTCAGTTTTATTTTTCAAAACCTAATGATTTGATCAGAAGCTCAAATTTTTTGTTAGATAAAGGAGATCTTGGAGTTACAGTGATTTTGTTTCTTTTTTTTTTTTTTTTATATTTTAAGAGCATGTTAGTACCCCCCCCCCCCACCCCCCCCCCCCCACCCACAGAACAAAAACCACAAAAAACCAAAGAGAGAAAAAAAATAAAGTTAGCATATGCAAATATCCTCATGTTAGCAGAAACAACCAAAAAAGACAGAAATAATCACTCGTCCACACTTTCCTTTTTTTGTGGCTTTGGCATCACTGTTTGATCCCCTAACAAGGAAGTCTTGGTGACATAGGTATCCCCAGACCTATCCACTTTCCAATGTGCTGTAATACTGCCTTCTAGAACGGGGATATGCATTTACATTCCCATATCACATGTATAAAAGTACCTGATTCCGTTTTACATTTCCAACATAAGTTATCCCCAAGCAGGCCTAGATAATGTGAAATAAAAGCTATGTACCATATTATAATGCATACATTTCTCTCTTGATTCTGTAATGTATTTCCCATTATTTAAAAGTATTTTCAACCATCCTTCATCACTAAAAGTGCAGCCAAGGTCCCTCTACCAGACAGTCCCCAGACCTTTAAATATATCTTTTTGCATGCTATTAAACAATTTATGAAATATAGATGCATTATACTTAATGGGGAACACCGGTTATTTTACAATGGCCCCTTGGTTTTACATTGTTACTTGTTATTATTTGTGTCATTTATAGCTGTTCCGAAGATATTCGGTGGTGTTATATCCAAGTATTATCTTCCTATGGGCAACTGAAAGAATTAGGAGACATATGTCTGTTTGTTCTTTAAACTTCTTGACGCTTTCTAACAATCGTGACTCTTCTTTTCCTGCAGCGGTGGCAGTTCCAAACCAAGGCACCGGTTTTCTCCTCCCCAAGCTTTGTACCAGGACAGCAGAGGCTTCTGTGCGGCTCGCATGATGGCCGGCTGTACTGTCTGAACTGCTCCGACGGCTCCCTTGTTTGGACCTTTCAGACATCAGGCAAAGTGTACGCCACTGCGTTTGTGTCTGAGGGCTTTGCTGTTGGCAGCAGGGGGGCTCTGGTGGCCGTGGCCTCCACAGATGGCACCGTCTGGATCCTGGACGCACAAAATGGATGTGTTCTGGCATCGCATGCGCTGCCCGGGGAACTGTTTTCATCGCCGGTCGTGTGGGAACAGTCTCTTGTGATTGGATGCCGTAATGACTATGTGTACTGTTTGAACCTGACTACTAATGTGTAGAGGTCATCATATAGCTGCATTATACAGCTTTGCTTAAAAAGAAGAATGGCACTTTTTTCCCTAAATTATATTAAAAATAAACTAATGAAAGACAAAAAATCATAAGTATTGTTTGAACCAAGAAGTTGCTCTTGTCCTGATAGATTTTGGGTAATTTCCTTTTAAAGGCATTTTTCTTGCACACGATTCCAAATGACCAGCTCAGAGTATTTCCATGTTTGCAAATTTACATCTTGTATGCCGTATTAAGCCACATCCCTCAGCAGGATGTGTAAGTTACTATGCCTTGCAGGAAACACTGCCTTAAATTAAGTGTTGTATGTGTGCAGCTTCTACACATTTTGTAATTTGAGTGTTTTTGATTTTTTATTATGAGAGTTTCTTGCTCATATGCTCGGTGTAGATATTTTTTAATAGAACACACAGGTATCTATGAACCTTCTTTGAATCCCCCCGCAGCTCATTGTCTGTTTCTTTGCTCTATTGAACAGTAGTTTCTATGTTATTCCACATCTTCTTGTCAGTAAAAAAAAAAACTGATCAAAATCAAAGAACACCTTTCTGTAAAAAAGTAAACTTCTTAATACATTGATTATTCTTGTTAATTATGCCTCTTTTGTTTCATTCCCAACAGATTCAGTTCCACAGCAGTGAGGATTAAATAACACTCTGTTCTTTGGTTCAGACATCAGTATTTAATTTACGTTATTCATAACATTTCGAATCTGTTAAACAACTTTCTCATGAATATCTCCAAGTGGGACAAAAAGTGCAAATAATACCAAACATTGTTCCATTTTTTTTTTCTTGTTACAGATAACACTGCGTACACCACACTATTGTGCACGACCAACGTTAGAAACAAAGTGACTCAGGTTCCTGGGCTCCTTTCAGTGCGAATATATACTTACACATGACCGAAGGAAAAGAGAACAAATAAGTTTGCTTTTCCATAATGCCTCTAATACTATGATTGGATCACATGGATCAAAGAAGAGAAGGTGCAAGTCTACAGGACGACATGCCAGAAGAACTGTAGCAGGCGTTGTTAGTCTCTAAAGTCCATTTTTACACAGCCGTGGTTGTTTGGAGCCCTCAGTGTCCTCCACGCTTCCCTTTAAGTCCAGTTTGTTATTTTGGATAAAAACCAGTTTGTCACAGTCAGAACGGACACAGTGAGATTTGTTTCCAATATGACTTAAAGAAAAAAAGAATAAAGAAAAACACAAGATTCCCTCTTTTTACAATAAAACAAGGTTTAGACCAAGGCTACAATGCAGTTCCAGTGTAGATAAATCTGCTGCTGTACATAAATAACACGGAAGAGGGCAGAGAAGGTGCCTGTAACACTTCCAGGAGCTGTCCAGAGGACCAGCCATGCTGGGTTCTATTTTCTTTTACAGGTAGCCCTTAAAACGATTCAGACGGGTACCCTCTGCTGATAAAGCGCTGCTGATCCCTAGAGCTTGAACTGTATGGAGCATAGAATTTATTACAATGGTGACCCACTTAGCTGCAAAATCATAAAAAAGGTTACCTACTGTGAAAGTCAGCCATGGTTGTGATTAGCTGCTGAGGAATTTATCTTCCAGGGGACATAGAATTGGTGTGATTGGATACTATATATGCATGCTCTCATCAATCGCTTACACATACACTATATTGCCAAAAGTATTTGCTCACCCATCCAAATTATTGGAATCAGGTGTTCCAATCACTTCCATGGCCACAGGTGTATAAATTCAAGCACCTAGGCATGCAGACTGTTTTTACAAACATTTGTGAAAGAATGGGTCGCTCTCAGGAGCTCAGTGAATTCCAGCGTGGAACTGTGATAGGATGCCACCTGTGCAACAAATCCAGTCGTGAAATTTCCTCGCTCCTAAATATTCCACAGTCAACTGTCAGCTGTATTATAAGAAAATGGAAGTGTTTGGGAACGACAGCAACTCAGCCACGAAGTGGTAGGCCACGTAAACTGACGGAGCGGGGTCAGCGGATGCTGAAGCGCATAGTGCGAAGAGGTCGCCAACTTTCTGCAGAGTCAATCACTACAGACCTCCAAACTTCATGTGGCCTTCAGATTAGCTCAAGAACAGTGCGCAGAGAGCTTCATGGAATGGGTTTCCATGGTCGAGCAGCTGCATCCAAGCCATACATCACCAAGTGCAATGCAAAGCGTCGGATGCGGTGGTGTAAAGCACGCCGCCACTGGACTCTAGAGCAGTGGAGACGCGTTCTCTGGAGTGACGAATCGCGCTTCTCCATCTGGCAATCTGATGGACGGGTCTGGGTTTGGCGGTTGCCAGGAGAACGGTACTTGTCTGACTGCATTGTGCCAAGTGTAAAGTTTGGTGAAGGGGGGATTATGGTGTGGGGTTGTTTTTCAGGAGCTGGGCTTGGCCCCTTAGTTCCAAGGAAAGGAACTCTGAATGCTTCAGCATACCAAGACATTTTGGACAATTCCATGCTCCCAACTTTGTGGGAACAGTTTGGAGCTGGCCCCTTCCTCTTCCAACATGACTGTGCACCAGTGCACAAAGCAAGGTCCATAAAGACATGGATGACAGAGTCTGGTGTGGATGAACTTGACTGGCCTGCACAGAGTCCTGACCTCAACCCGATAGAACACCTTTGGGATGAATTAGAGCGGAGACTGAGAGCCAGGCCTTCTCGTCCAACATCAGTGTGCGACCTCACAAATGCGCTTCTGGAAGAATGGTCAAAAATTCCCATAAACACACTCCTAAACCTTGTGGACAGCCTTCCCAGAAGAGTTGAAGCTGTTCTAGCTGCAAAGGGTGGACCGACGTCATATTGAACCCTATGGATTAGGAACGGGATGTCACTTAAGCTCATATGTGAGTCAAGGCAGGTGAGCAAATACTTTTGGCAATATAGTGTATCTGCAGCTTTACTGGAATATTTGAAACTGAAGCACACTTTTAACATGGTAGTTATAGCAGCCAGTGTGTGTCAGGGGTTTTCATGAGTGGAGAAGGCGGTCCTCTGGCTCCATGGGGAGCATGCGTTCTCAATGCATGCTTTGTTAAAATGGCGTCCGGAGTGTTTACTTGATGATCTGCGGACAGTCGCTCCAGGCTTTGGCCTTTCGTTTTGCTAGTGCCAGCCAGGCCGGCTCTGTGGACACCTGGGGAGAATCGCTGGAGGGAAAACGCTTTGACACATCCTTGACAGCAGGTGGTGACGGTGTTGAGTCGGAGATTTCAACTGGAATTGCAAAGAGTCATCAAGTGTGAGCAAAACATCTTTTGTGCCTTAAAAGTATTCATATCCATTATATATTCCACATTTCATTACAATTAACACACAATCTTCATTTTTTTTTATTTGATTAACCAACACAAAGCAGATGCTTGGTGTGTGGCCCAGATGAAAAAATAGCTGGTGTTAGAAAGGTCATGTAGAGCAGGTTTATGTAGAAATTAATTCAACCCCCTTTTATTCTGATTACCCCAAAGAAAATTTGGTGTTGATTGCTGGCTTAGAATCCCATCACACCGTTACATTAGAGAGTGATATGGGCTGATTACTGCAGAGACATGGATGATTGGACAGCAGAGACTGACAGGAAAATAATTGGTCGTCTCTGCATTTGTATCAAGAATGACTGAAAGATCCAAGACAACAGAAAGTTTTTGCACACAGTTTTGTAAATGTATAACCCATGGGCAGACCATTTGATTCACCCCAGGGATTCCCTGTTGTTTACATACCAGAGCTAACATACCATCACCAGCTAACACCAGAGCGCCATCTGTCTGCAGAAACATGAATAAAAGCCTACATTTAATAGATTCAGATTTAAACAAATAAATAAATACAAAATAAAATCTTTTTTTTTTGTTCAGAACATCTTTGACTCGTGCCATGCAGCTTCCGGTATCGAGCTTCCCAGAACACGTCTTCCAGGCATGTGCAGACCTACTAGCAGAACTGTTTAAAATGTCTTCAACCTTGGCTTTGACCCTGGCCGCCTTACATCAGCAACCATTGTGCTCATCCTAAGCTGAACACAGTAAGCAGCCTAAATGTCTACAGGCCGATTTCAGTCACTACTGTGATTGTGAAATGCTTAAATATTTCCAAATCAAACCTACCACTTCTGCTATGCTGGATCACCATCAGTTGGTCTATTGAGTCAATGGATCAACAGAGGACACTGTCAGCATTACCCTACACAGCAACTCAGAGTCCCATGAAAAACCGAACATCTATGCCAGGCCTCAGCCCTAAACACGGTTGTCCAAACAGCACCACCACAGTCTGAGCTCTACCATCTCCAGCTGGACCATGGACTTGCCTACCAGCCGCTAAAATGAGGAACTCACATCTTCCACCATCAAATGAACACCTGTGTGCCTCTGAGATGTGTATCCATGACTACCATTAAGTTTGCATAAAAAACGCCATCAGTATGTGTGCAGGCAATAAAACAACCGTGGTGCTGATCTGCCGATGAGGCAGCCTACAGAAAGGAGGGGAATTTCCTGAAGAGCACCAACAATCTGAACCATTGAAAAACAAAGAGTGTTTTTGACTTTCAGAAAGTCCAGGAGGATGAATCTTGCAATGTTAGCTACTGAAAAGAGAAGAAGATCCCCAGCTATAAGCTTCTGGGCATTCACATCACCAAGGATGTCTGTTGGACTAAAAGGACCACACACACATATTAGACAGGGCTCTGTAGCTCTTTTGCTTATTGAAGAAAGTAAGGAAGGTTGGATTATCTTAGAACCTCCCCATGACCTTCTACCAGTTCAGAAGAGCAGCCTCACTTATGGCATCACACCATGGTGTGTAAGATGTCATAAGAAGGAGCAGAAGGTCATAAAAGTTGCATGTAAGAGTCACTGGGTGTGACAATGGCCAGGAGAATAATCCGAGATTAAATACATTTGGCCTATAATCCCCTCAGACTGCCTAGGAGCCGCACATCAAGACTAAAATTTTTAAATCAACTAAAATTGAACACAACCTCCATGACAGATAAATACCTCCAACTTTTAATACAACATATATAATTAGGAAAATGTAATCCATCATTTATTATATTTTACACCCAATACAGATTTTTCTGCCACATTTATTCATTCATGCCCAGTCGCCTGTTGCTTCTCCTTCCCTACAGTTCACTTTGTAACTTGTTTACAACTTTTCAACGACTCTTTAACAGCTTTTACTCGTATAGCTGTTTAATCTATGACTTGCTTTTACTTCCTCTGATCATGCTATTTTTTGGCAAAAGGCCCAACGTAATTTTCTTATAATGCTGACAGCAGTATGCAATAACAATAAACATCTTATCTTCAAGTAGGAGTGGCATGAAGAGAAGAGAGCCATAAGAACACCCATTTACAGCTCGTCATAAGCATGCCATGCCATGTAGGGGATGGAAAATATGTGCAGGAAGAATGCTCTAGCCAAATGACACCTAAATATATGCAAATAAGCCTGCAAACACAAATAACATACCCCAAATACGGGGTGGTAGCATCATGATATGAGGCTGATTTAAATTAGTAAGGACAGGGAATCTGGTCAAATATCACATTTAACACAAAGACGAATTGATATATATGTGAAAATCAATACAGACAATCCCTGTCTGGTGTTTTCCTCTCAGCAGCTCTATGACCCTGAGCTACAATAGAGTGGCTCAGATCAAAGTGTGTTTATGAGTTAACTTAGCCGGTCAAGGTCAGGAATTAAATCTGTGAAAGGACTTGAATTTTTGATCTTCAAAGAAGATCCGTTTCCAAGTGGACTGAAGTTAAGCTATTTTGAAAAGCAGAATTATCCAAAATTACAGATGCATTTTGCAACAGCACACACTAAGTCTGGTCTAGCGCTTATCCAAGGTCACAACAATGAACTCCTGTGTGTTCTAACATAGCAGCCTGATGAAATACAAGTTTGTGACATTTTCTGTGGAAAGAAATATAGAGTTACACTTAAGAAAGAGAACTTAAAATGTTAGCTGATGAATGAACCTACATTGGAACAGTTTTTTTCAATAAGAAGCCGTTTTCATCATCCAAAATGGAATGACCATCAAATGATGATTAATAGTGGTAGATTGGGATGCCTACCTGTGACTGAGCTCGGTAAGGTGCTGGCCTTTTTCAGAGGATCTCTGCGCTCGAGCCGTCCCAGCAGGCTGTCGGGTCTCTTGGGCTCCCCAGGTATCTGAGGTTTAAAGGAGGGACTGGTGCCCCAGCTCTCTTTGCCCCCTGTTGGACTCACCAGCCCAATCTGCACAAAGAGGCATGAGAATATTTCAAAGGACTGTAGACTATGCTAGGCAGAGTAACTGTTGAATGGGGACCTGCAGCACATACCCCGTGCCTCTCTCTGGCTTGCTTCTCTGCTAGCTTGGCTTCTCTTTGGCTTCGACGCTCTTCGCGGGTCTGCTGCTGCTCCCTGAAACCTTTCTGCTTCTGCAGAGCCAGAGTTATCCATAAGGGCCCAGCTTCTTTTTCTTGGACCTTTGCGCTGTCCAGTGAGTGTCTGGCCTGTAAGGAAGGTTTTTCTGCAGAGACAAAGACAATTGAAGGTTACTATAACTATAGTGAATTGACTAAACCTTTTATTCTTACAACTAAAAACACTTTAAATCTAATCTAGAGCTGACTCATTGTTATGGCCGAACTGACCTCGCCTGATGAGCTCTGCCTTCCTATCTGACTTCTCTCTCCACGGGATGTTGATGGAAGGGAAGAAAGACCTCTTCTCCTTTGGTTCCTCCTCTCCTTGGACATGAATGTAGCTCCCTCTGTGCAGCTGGGCCACTGGTTCCTCGCTTCTATCTGTTTGCTCTTGTACAGATGAATCTGGGCTCCCTGTCCTCTGGATCACATCCTCACAGGGGAACCTGTGGGGTACTTTAGGCAGCGGAGAAGGAGGAGGTGTTGGGGTGGATCCAGAGGGTTTGGGTGATGTTGCTGGTCTTCGGTAGAGTGGCGGCTTGAAAAGGGCTTTCTCTCTTTCGTTGTGAGCAGTGGGGCTGGTAGGTTTGCCCGGCTTACCGCAGGTTGTGGCAGGAGAGGCTGATGTGTGTAAAAACTTGCTTACTAATCCTTCTTTCTGAGGTGATGTAGGACTTGATTTGTCAGAAAAGACAGAGGAGGCATCAGAGTCTGGCTCAATTGGGGTGAGAGGTGAAGGGACGCCGTCAAAGCTGTCTCCAGCACTGTAGCGTTTCTTTCTTTTCTCTGTGGACTGCTCACTGTGAAAACGCAAAGAGTAGTTAGTCCTTCTCAGCTTAATTCCAAAAGGTGATGGGTTATCTTCACCATCCTGCGCTTTTGCCTCATCCTCTTCTGTCTTGCACTGAAGCCGACTCTTTACATCGGAGCCCTCAGGTCTGTCCCCAGGGCTAGGAACCAGGAAAGACGGGAGGTCTTTGGCAAACATGCACTCCTCTGAACCTCTCTCTACAGCCCAGACAGTTTTGCTTGTCAGGCTCTGAGGTTTACCAGATGGAGACCAAGTGGCTGCTGTGGGACTATCAGATGGAACCTTTTCTTCTTCTCCAACCTTATCTGCACTTAAAACCTCAGAGTTTCTGTTTGAGCCAAACTTTTTCTTTGCAGGGGTTATGGAGAACTTGGCACTGGCGGACATTGTTTTTCTCAAGTTGGTGTGTGAGAAGGGAGCCTGCTCTTCACTACCCAGCTGCAATCTGCTTGGAGGGTCTGGGTACTCGTCATATTTCCCCTCCTCTACTCCCTTAAATATCTTTGAGCGGATGCTTGCCCACTCTGCTAGCACGGCTGAGCTGGACTGATCCGTGGAGAATGAAGACTCACTGAGCGATTTAGATTTCACTGACTTGCGGTCCGGTGAGCTTTTGCTCTTTGCAGAAGGTGTTCCTTGGGCCTTTCTTTCTTCTCCTAAACCTAGCAGGGACATGCATGCAGGGTCTTTGATCTGGTCTAAATTGACAGCTGTCCCACAGAGCTGGGCGCCTGTCACCAGGATAGCTGTGTGGGGGACATATGGTGATGCTGGAAGGTTAGGGGGGTCTTGTCCTTCCAGTAAGGAGGCTACAGCTCCTTCTCTTTGATCAGCGTCAGCTGTGCTCTGGTGGCTGGAGGCTGGTGTAACAGGGGTCAGGTTGACCTTCTGGAAGAGAATTTGTTTCTCTCCAGAGGAAACCTTGAAGGTGAAAGGTCTTTGTCGTTCCTCCATCTCCCTCCAACGCTGCTCCTCCGCTCTTCGCTTCCTCACCTGTTCATCATAGCTCGCAGCAGCCTCTTCTGTCAATATGTTTTTCTGCTCCTCTAATTCCAGTAGTTTCTTGTGCTCCATCTCTCTCAACCTTAGTTTCTGTTCTTCCTTTTTCTTTCTTTCCTCTTCTTCCTCCTTTTGCTTTTTGCGCTTTTCTGCTTCAAGTTCCTGTTGCCCCTTTGCCACCTCCTCCTCTCTCTTCCTCCTTTCTTCCTCTTCAAGTCTCTTCCTTTCTTCTTCTTCCCTTTGCTTCTGCTCTTCTAGCTGTCTCCTGTCTACTTGCTGTTGATGCTGCACTTTTTGCTTTTTCCTTTCCTCTTCCAGCTTTTTAATTTGTTGTTTTTCTTCTTTCCTCCTCTCCTCTTCCCTAACCTTTCTTTTCTCCTCCTCTATTCTCATCCTCTCCGCTTCCTCATGCATCTTCCTTTCCTCCTCCTCTCTTTTTATTTTCTCAGCCTCCTCTTGCCTCCTCCTTTCTTGCTCCTCTTCCATCCTGCTAGCCTCCTCCTCTTTTCTCTGTCTCTCAGCCTCCTCTTGCCTCCTCCTTTCTTGCTCCTCTTCCATCCTTCTAGCCTCCTCTTTTCTCTGTCTCTCAGCCTCCTCTTGCCTCCTCCTTTCTTGCTCCTCTTCCATCCTTCTAGCCTCCTCCTCTTTTCTCTGTCTCTCAGCCTCCTCTTGCCTCCTCCTTTCTTCCTCTTCTTCCATCCTTCTAGCCTCTTCCTCCTTTCTCTGTCTCTCAGCCTCTTCTCGCCTCAGTTTTTCATCCTCTTCTCTGACTCTCCTCAGCTCCTCCTCCTCTTTCTCTCTCCTCTCTGTCTCCTCTCTCATCCTCCTCTCTTGTTCTTGCTGTCTCCTCTCTTCCTCCAGTTCTCGCAGCCTCAGCTCCTCTGCCCTCATCTTCCTCTGCTCAGCTTCTTCTCTGAGCCTTTGTTCCTCCATCTCCCTTCTGCTTCTGGCCTCCAGTATGTCTTCTTCATAAAGTCTCTGTTTCTTCAAGCTTTCTTTGGATGACTCCAGAGATGCTCTGCGCTGGTCGTCTAAGAACACGCCGCCTGCCTCCAGGTCCTCCTGTATGTCCCCAGGAACAGACACCTCCTGGAGGTCCTGGGAATAAAGTGACAGTATTGTTTGAATTTTAAAATCACAGAAGATGATGGAAAATGTGAGACAGAATCGCAGATTAAACCTTGTGTCTCCCTTACCAGGGTGAACCGTCTGTGTTTGCGGGAAATCCTCTGGTTTTTCGGTTTGATCGAGAGTTTATGCTTGGCAGCAGTGTTGTCCAGGCGAGGAACAGACTGGGGGACAGCATCAAGATTGATAGACTCAATGATTCCCATTGGCGGGAGAACCCGTTTGGACCTTGGAGACTTCACCGGCGGGCTGTGCTGCCCAAATGATTGAGCTCCTTGGACCTACATTTTCCACAAAAGAGAAATAATTCACAGTAGCTTTCTATAGTATTTTTTCCATCCCTGAATTTTCATGATCTTATCGTTTTATAACCACAAATTTCAATATATTTCATTGAGATTTCATGTGACAGACCAACACACAGTAGTGTGTAAATGTGAACTGGAAGGAGAGTGATCCACGGAAGTATTCTAACAGAGTGTCATGCACTCCCCTTTACTCTGATACCTCTAAAAGTCTGGTAAAAATAAATGGCTGCTAAAAATAAACTAATCAGTAAAGCAAATCTTTGTGTTTAAATATAAGCTATAGATATAGGCAAAAACCTATTATCACTGATCAGAGAGTTGTAACTCTCACAGCTCAGCTAGAAGGTGGTTTGCATGTCAGACTTTTCAGGGTTTTATGTGTTTCTTTTATCTTTGAAAATTATACATCAGTTCAGATTAACAATTACAAACGACTGTTTTTACTAAAACAAAATAAAACCCTGCTGACAAATATTGAAGTTTGTGGCAGTCAGGTGACACACTTGGAAAAGTTTTACAATATTAATTATTTTAAGAAGGCGTGGTCTACTATTTAAAATGAAGTTTAAAAACACAGCCTGCTGTACTCTTTTAACACTGAAAATCAATAGAAAAAGCTTATTATTTACCTTTGGTTCCATTTTTGGTGGCTCAGTTTCTACCTGGACCAAAACCTTCAGAGGGCTTCGGGGAACCTCCTCCTCATCGGAACTTCCCTCACCTTCCTCACTTTTACGAAGAGACAGAGGCCTCTGGCCAAACTTTATACCTTGTGCTATCTGCCTCTGTGGGGTGAACAGAACCATGGAACAGATTATAGGTTAGATATGTTGACCTTAATCAGTAATATTATTTATGTTTTAGATTTTTCTTCCAGATTATGGCAGGCTTGAACTTCGGTGATTCCAGGATCGCTTTCTATCATTTAACCAGTTTTCATTTTCTTTCCAGATGGTTGAAACTTGGATACAAACAGGTGTTCAGCAGCATTGATGATAACCATAGAAACACATCATAGCTCATTTTGAACATGGATAAAGCAAGAAATTAGATCTTTTGCATTTTTATGGTCTATATTTATAAATTCCCTCGGCAAAAGTCACTCAGTCTGAATAAACTCTCAATGATTCTAGCAAGAAACAGAGCAACCATTCAGACAGGAACTACCAGAAGCTTGGCCACAGAAGAGAAATTATGAAGAATTCAGCCCTATACAAATGTACAGTGAGGAAAATAAGTATTTGAACACCTGATAAAATCAATGTTAATATTTGGTACAGTAGCCTTTGTATGCAGAGGTCAAACGCTTCCAGTAGTTTTTCAGCAGGTTTGCACACACTGCAGGAGGAATTTTGGCCCAATCCACACAGGTCTTCTCTAAATCAGTGAGATTTCTGGGCTGTCACTGAGAAACACAGAGTTTAAGCTTCTTTCAGAGATTCTCTATCGGGTTTAGGTCTGGAGACTGGATAGGCAATGCCAGAACCTTGTTATGCTTCTTACAGAGCCACTCCTGGTTATGCTGGTTCTGTGCTTCGGGTCATTGTCATGCTGGAAGACCCATCTTCAATGCTCTAACTGAGGGAAGAAGGTTGTTCCCCAAAATCTCACATTACATGACCCCCGTTATCCTCTCCTTAATACAGTGCAGTCACCCTATCCATGTGCAGAAAAACACCCCCTAAGCATTATACTACCAGCCCCATGCTTCACAGCAGGGATGGTGTTCCTGGGATGTAACTCATCATAGTGGAATTATGACCAGAAAGTTCTATTTTGGTCTCACCTGACCAAATTACTTTCTCCCATGACTCCTCCGGATCATCCAAATGGTCATTGGCAAACTTAAGACAGGCTTTTACATGTGCTGGTTTAAGTAGGAGAACCTTCTGTGCCATGTATGAATTCAAACCATGACGTCTTAGGGCCGGATTTATCAAGATCCAATTTTGCGTGCAGTAATTTGCGCTCGCAAACTGGAATTTTGCGCGAGGGGCTGAACCATGGTTTGCGGGTGATTTAACAAGAGTGATTGCATAACTGGTGGCAGGTGCAAAACTGTTGGAGACGCCCTATTTAAATGATGGTTTTGCGCGTTTTGTGGTTTGCGGCAAAGTAGTTTGTAGTTTGTACAAACTAGTGCATGAAGAAATTTAAATCTTACAGTGACCCCCAACAACAACAACAAAAAAATATATATTTTATATATATAGATATATATATATAGATATATATATATATCTATATATATATATAAAGAAAAAACTTTGGCAACCTTTATTCCCTAAGGTGGTATGTGGCTGAATTTCTACTTCACTGCAGTAAAAAAACAAAAAAAAAAAAAAAAAACTTAGTGTTTTGTATTGACCTGCACATACCAAATGGCTCACAAGAAGTGACTGTGGATGAGATTACTGCGCGTACGCATCCCCGCAGCATTGGCATGTTGCTCCACAGGCGCAGGGGGGAGGTCTGGGTTCTCCGTTAGGGCGTCAGGGCGACATGGCATTTAGAACGTCAGACAGCACTTCTGAAAAACTAGATTGGGATATCCAATGTTGCAAGGAGTTTTGTGATATCTGGTATTGCGTGGGTCCTCCTTGTGGCTGGCTCCAAATTCATTCGGAGTTCCCCCAACAGCTCCAAAATGGCAATGCTGGATGAGCGATATGTTTTGATGATCTTTTTCTCGTTCATTCCAAAAATATTCACATGGAGTGAAAAAATGCGTTCTCTGTGTCTCCTTGCTTCATTTCGATGTCTCCTTCTTGCGCAACCCACCGCTGCCATGTGTGCGCAATTACGCATACAGACCAATTGCACCTTCTTTTGAAACGTGTTAAATATAGAGTCAGATACCGTTAGCAAAATTGCTTTCAGGTTTGATAAATCACTTTGCGAGTGCTAAATTAATATATTTACATGTTCTCCTCCCACAAGACGCACTTTTGCGTGTAAACACCCCATATTGCATATTCATTGCAGAAAAAGTACTAAATGGATAAGAGGAGCTATTTAGCACGTTTTAAAGACCAAATCCTTTTAGCACGCTGTTGATAGATCAGTTTGTACATTTTTTAGTGTGCGCAGTGAAATAGCTCACGTTTTAATACACGCAAACCTTTGATAGATCCGGCCCTTAGTGTATTACCAACAGTAACCTTGGAAACGGTGGCCCCAGCTCTTTGCAGGTCATTGACCAGCTCCTCCTATGTAGCTCTGGGCTGATATTTCACCTTTCTTCAGGTCATAAAGACCCCAAAAGGAGATAACTTGCATGCAGCCCCAGTCCAAGGGAGATTGACAGGCATCTTCTATTTTCTAATGATTGTTCCAACAGTGAATCTTTTTCAACAAGCTGCTTGGCAATTTCCCCGTAGCCCATTCCGGACTTGTGGAGGTGCACAATACAATGAAAATTTCAGACCCTTTCATGATTTCTAAATGGGAGAAATTGCAAAATAACAGGGTGTTCAAATACTTATTTTTCTGTATATTTTAATTTAAGTTTCCCCTTGAAAAAAAGAGTTAAAATGAATCCCAAAAAGGCTGAATATTACTGGCATTAATGTTAAAGATGTGAATTTCTGAGGCTTCGACCCTCAAAATGATTTATTTTAATATTCTGAAGTGTGCATGGTGATTTCAGAGAAGTGTGGGGTTTGTGTGAGGTCCACCTGGAGGTTCCTAACTTTATCTGACACGTTTTCCTGGGACATGCTGTGATCGAGGGTGAGTTCCTCCAATGGCTCTTCGGGGGTAAAGATGCTGTCGCAGGACAGAGCTCGAGATCCGATGGGATTTAGGTCCCTGCAGAAGATTGAGAGCTTCCTCAGGGTTCAGAGCGACATTTACTTCAAATGGTTTTACACATAGAATGAGAACAGCTCTTCTACTATCTGCTATCATCACAGTAAAGGTAATTTCACTTTAGTGTGTGGTGCAAAGTCTAACTTCATTTTAATTATTTTCAAATGTTATCAGAAAAGCATTTGTTTACATTATTTGTATAAAAGTAATGACTGAATCATTCCCTGAAATAAAGCAATCACTGCTCTTACCTCAGATTTTTATTAGACTCCTCATTGTCAGACACGACTCCGCTGCACACTTCTCCAATTGAATAACTTGCTTTTAGCTCTGTTCCATCAAAGCTCCTTTTAACTTCCCGTTTCTTCTTCTTCTTCCCAAACAGCCGTCTGAAGGGCTGGAATTTGCCCGGTCGTTTTTGCTCTGTCGTGTGGGGGAAAAGAAACTAGGCGATAACCAAAGCTTAGTGCAATCACGTCAATCTTTTTTTTATCTCACATTTTGCCAAGATAACAAGCAAGATGATGGCTGAGGGCGTGTTGTTAAAGTACAACTCTGAACAGATAATGAAATGCAAGTGACATGGCTGATATAAAATGAACCAAAATAGATAAGGCGATAAGCGAAATGAAGAATAAAACCTTGGCTTCCAGTTTTAGAAAATGGTGAAGATAAAGGTGAAGCCTTGAAAGGGAGGAAAGAAACATGACTGAGCAAATTTCAGAGAAAAATCCAGCATTAGAAAACACCAAATCCCAATGAGACAGCCCAGAGATTAAGGCACTTTGCCATAGGTGTGACTAATGTCACATTTGACCTGCATTTAAGTGTTTCCCTAATGTTCTTTTCAGATCACAGTTAATCACTCTTCTAATAATTAATCTCTTCAACTATTTCAGATTAGAACAAGAGCCAATGTGCTGCCAAACCTGAATACACGTCAGCCTGACATATCGAATGAAGGAAAGAAGCTGTAATAAAACATTTAATGGTGGTTTATGAGGAAGTCTTGAACCAAATAAAGAAATTAACTTTGGACTCTTAGCTAAAGTTACATACTCTGGTACAGGAAGTTTTTTTTTTTTTTTTTACACGTCAAGGCAAAATGATTAAACAAAAATAATTATGCCTTTAGCTGGAGGAAATGTTTCTTTATTTATGAAAAAAAAAAAAAATTTGAATGGAAACAAAAGTTTCGTAACTTTTTTTTTTCCCGTCTTTTTTGTATTTGCTTTCATGGGGGCACCCAGTAATGTAAGTGGGGGAGGTACAGAGCTGGATGTTACTCTACACCCCTGCTCAGACAGGCGTTCGTTCTCAGGCTCTGTGGGTATCCCTTTCAGAGCTAAAAGTAGCAACTGGTGTGGGATATCACTGCAAACACTGCTCACTAAACCAGGAGCATAATGGGAAGTGATACAGTAAACTAATTTCTCCACTTAGGTCTTTTGACCCCAAACTTTATCTTTCTGTGCATGTGCACCTACGATGACAGTTTTAGACCCCTCCATGATTTCTAAGTGGAAGAACTTACAAAGGTGTTCAGATACCTTTTTTTCTCACTGTATATATTTGGTATAAAACAGCTTCGGCAGCTAGTTAAGACACTTAAGAAGCTTTAATCAAATCCTTGAAGTCAAGCAGTTAAAAAAAAACTAAAAGCAGGTATTGTGTATTTTTAACACACACACTATTATATTATATAATATATAACATTTATCATATATATTTATATAATATATATATATAATATACACTATCTTGCCAAAAGTATTTGCTCACCTGCCTTGACTCACATATACTTCAGTGACATCCGTTCCTAATCCTAGGGTTCAATATGACTCGTCCACCCTTTGCAGCTGAAAGCTTCTAACTCTTCTGGGAAGGAACTAGCATACAAGTTAGGATGTGTCATTTTTTTTGACTCATTCTTGCCAAACGATAGAGTCAGCAATGATGTTGGCGAGAGGCTTGCTTCAGTCCTCTGAACGATAATGCCAAATGAGTGATCATCGGTTGATATAAAAGGACCATGTAAGGCAAGCGATAAGAATACACCAGACCTTGTATCCATGTCTTTAGAACCTTGCTATAGTCAAGGTGCACAGTCATTTGAAGGAGGAAAGAACAGCTCAAATTTCCAAAAGATTGGAGCATGAATGTCCAAAATGATCTCGGTATGTGAAGCATTCATAGGTTGCTTTCCTTTGGACCTAAGGCCAAGTCCCAGCTCCTGTAAAACAACCCCACACATAATCCCCTTCACCAATTTAATTAGAAACAATGCAGTCAGACAAAGACCGTCCCTGCAATCGAAAACCAGAACGATACAACAATTGCATTTGGAGAAGGAATCGTGAACCATAAAGAATAACGGCCTCCACTGTTAGCATCCTGGACGGAAGTTTTTTTTACACGTCAAGACTATGATTGAACAAATTTATGTATGGCTTGGATGCAACTGTCTTTATTTATGGAAAAATAAAAATTGAAGGCATTTGCGCACTGTCTTTGAGCTATCTGGGCACCATATGAAGTTGGGAGGTCAGTGGTGTTACTCTAGAAAGCACCCTCTCGACTAGGCGTCTTTCAGGCTCGTGGGTACTCCCTTTACGTGGCCTAAACAACTGTGTGGGAGTTCATCGTTCCAAACACTCTCACTTAAACCAGCAGCTTGGGACAGTTGACAGTATATATATATATATATATATATATATATATATATATATATTAGTGCTGTCAAAATTATCGCGTTATTAACGCGTTAACGCGAGGCCATTTTAACGGCGATAATTTTTTTAACGTGAGATTAACGCTATGTGGTTTTATGGTACAATTTTCCAAGTACATCCCGCTGCAGCCTGCGAGAAGGCGGGGCTATTTTCCCCCAGTGTATGCAGTTCTCATAGGCTTCGAGAGCGGAGCTCCTCAAGGGAAAAAGACGCTCATACACTGGGTGACGCTAGTGCCTTTTCTTTAAGCCACACCACCAACAAACAAGTTGAGTGTCTGGTAACTAGTAGCAACCTGAAATACGCTGAGAAAACAGATTACTGAGGTGAAATGGAATCTGCTACGGCACTCTTGCTGTCTGTGTACGCCACAGGTCAGTATCGCGCGTGTGTGTGTGTGTGTGTTCTCATTTTTGTTAAGAGGCTGAAAAGTAACTTTCTAGAGCACAGACTACCTCCATCTAGTGATGTCGGTCTATTGATTTTGATGTATTGATTGAAAATTGTTCATTATTATCTTGGTTAATTAACATCTAATGTTAACTCTACTGCATTTTATAGCAGTAGGGTAAAATGCTTGTCTTTGTTCAAAAGACTGTATTAACTGTAAAGACTGTCTTTTACATCAGCCTGTTTTCAGGGCTACATATTTGTTATTTTTTGCTACATGCCTCCCCATCTTCTTGCCATATGTTTCTATGGCATAAATCATTATCTGTGACCTGTTTTCGTTTTAAAAAAAGAACATTGGCACAAACCTAGCCTGTATGTATTTTTTTGTATGTCATCGAGAGTATTTAAATGATTTTCAATCAGGAAAAAAATGTGCGATTAAAATGCGATTAATCGTGAGTTAACTCAGGCATTGATGCGATTAATCGCGATTAAAAAAATGTAATCGATTGACAGCACTAATATATATATATATATATATGAAAACAGTATACATTTAATCATATTGATTTTGCATAAAGTTATGTAGAAATGAATTGAATGTGTTAAGGTTTCAAAGAGAACAGGTTTGCCTAGTTTTTGTATGGGTGTGTTCATAGGAATAGCTAACTGCTGGCTGTTTTGTGCTATGACTAATATGTGGTTTCAGTTCAGGCCATACATATCTAAAGAGCTGAAGGGGTCAGTGGTGTTTCTCATCAGGGGATTTTGTTCTTATTTATGTTTGTGATAAAATGGATGGTATGGCTTAGAGCTCTGTCAGACTTCAACACTCTAATATCAAGGTGCAGCACTGATGCTTTGCCTCCCTACAGCGTGTTCTCTCAGCATCTTTGCCCATCAAATGGCACAAAGCCCATTATGCCCTGCCATGGGCGCACTCACACACTCATGCATGAAATAAGACAGGACACTTTTTTTCTGCAGAGCAGACAAGCGGCAGCAAGATAACACAGAGCTCCAGTCCAACTCAGCTGAAAGGTTCTTGCTTTCTATAAACTCAAAGGAAGGGGTATTTTGACTAGAGGTCTAAACTTAGCTCTTAGCTGAGATTTACATTTTAACCTTCTGGTTAGGGATTAGGCCACTACCAGTTAGCATACGTTTCTAACTTAATTTGTAAATTAACTGCTTTTTAGTCACACTGACTGCAAAATGATTTCCCTTTCCAACGTGAACACACGTCCCAACATCAACATGTGTGACAGGAGGAAGCTAAAATTGAACCTAGAATATTAAAGTCCGCTACTCCTCTCAACATTAGATCATGGCTGCTGTAGATCATGACTTCCATTGCTGTTAATTTGGATCTAATGAAACTATTCGTATTTAATAATACAATATGCAGTTTAAATAAAATATTGTATCAATAAACTTCTCCTAATCGTCTTTTCTCTTCATGTGAGTTTTTCAGATTGAATTCTGTTATAAACCTCTTGGTCTATGCTTCTCTCAGACAGAAGAGAAAAATAATCATCAAACTAACTAAGAAAGAAAACTAAAAAGTTAAAAAAGGGTAGAAAACTTTAAAAAAAAAATAAAAATAATCCTCTCACCATTTGACCTGCCAGTGCATGCTTTGGAAATTTCAGTCTGGAACACTGAATCCAAACGCATCGTGTTATTAACACCTCTAACTTTTCCTCCATGTTACAATTGATGTTTCTTTATAGTTATGACCACGCAGTCTTTTATAGCCTGTACATTATCTACATCTACAAACAGTCTCCTCCAAATGACCCATAAAAATACATCTAACTTTAGTGAAACAACAGAAAACACACATTTCTATTTTATGTAATCCATTACAAAACAATTCACTGTCCTGCTACAACTTTTTGTCCTTCATGTACTTTTGCAATAGAGATTTCTGACATATTTCTTTTATGGATTTAATATTCCTACAAGGTCCTCATCCACAGTGTTTCACACAACACACTATGCACATGTGCCTCATAGCTGTAGGTCCTTTTTATTTTCTAAACCTTAGCTTTCCCCTTATTCCATAATCCCCCTTCCTTTCAGTACATACTTTCTTCTTAATTATTTCTCACTCTGTATATTATTTTACCAGTTTTAAAATTGAGAAGATCCATACATTTTTAAATGTTTAACTTTAGGTATAATGAATGTGTGTGCTCTATATATACCACGTTTCAATTTATCCTGATTACTCTTCAAAGTAATGTGTAAACCGGCCCTAATTTGTATGCATTTCCCCAAACTTCTACTTAGTATTTTAAACATGACAGCACCACTGCACAATATAATATTTTCAGGGATTCCTGTTTTAGCACGTTTTGTTTTTGCACTGCAATACTTTTCACCATGTTTTCCTTTATTTGCTTAATGTGATTTTATGACCAACAATAAACCCAGAAATCTATATCTATATATACAAAATTGTATTTGAACCATCATTGTTAAATAAAAATATTTATTTACATATTTTTGTTTTAATTATATCCATGGAATATTTCTTTAAATTCTAGTTACAAAATGTTCATTGCTGATTTGAATCCCCCGAATAAAATGTATTGGTGTTGTCTTTTAAATAATATACACTGTGCAAAAATGATCTAGAAATAAGTAAAATTGGTTTTAATTAAGTGTATTTACTAGGGGTGTGGGGAAAAAATCATTTTGGTGATATATCGTGATTTTCAGCTGCCTGATATAATATCGATCTTTCAGTTCCTAGTATCAATTTAAAAAAAATACAAAATATTTTTACCTAAAACTGAGGGGAAGTGGGCTACCTCTGCACCGCCACTCTGTCAGATGACACTGTGGAGCCCTTTTGCTTTGCTGTGCTGTGCTGCACCATATCTGTAGTGGAGGCAATAGACCCCAAACAACATGGATACCAAAATAACTAAATCATCAATATCTTCTGATGAACATACACAGTACTGTTTTTTTTTTCCTTCTATATATTTAATTTTAATAGGGAAAAATATTGCAATATATAGTAACATTGCAATGTAGTGATCCAAGTACCGCAATACATATCGTATTGAAACCCCCATGCCGATACTCCCCCCTAGTATTTACCCTTCATTTGACTATGTAAATAAGATGATTTGCAGATGGAATAAATATTTTTACAATTAAAATAAGATGATTAGATAATATGCACTAAAAATAAGGCAATGCAATTGTGTTTTTATTATCTTAAATGTGAATTGTCTTGTTCCATTTTCAATGTGTCTCACCTCCTCAATTAAATAAAAAATTCACTTTATATATAAAATTTTTTTGCAGTGCATTAAAAGCCTAGTATATTATTAAGCCTTTGTATTTTCTCCAATATGGACCTAGCTTTCAGATTAACCTACAATAGACATTTTCAGCAGATCAAAGAAAGGTTTTAGAAAGAAAGCACAGTCCAGAGAAAGTCTTCTAGAAATCACCTCTAAGAAGTCAAACCCATCACCACGCCACACAGCTGTTAAAGAGACAGTGGACCAAACTAATCAACTTCTATGTTGATCTGGCAATATGTTTTTGATCCTGTTGAGAGATAAATTTTAGTTTAAAATCATCTGGTATTTCATATAATTTAAGTTTTCCAGCTCAACGTGTCTCATATGGCCTTTAGAAAAGAAGCAGGCCCATTGCATTACAGAACCTTCACCGTACTCAATACTGACCTTCAGTTACACTTCAAAATGTTCACATTCTGCTTTATACTCCATGTTAATTTGGTTTGTTAATTTAGCAGCACTGTCTCTTTAAAAAGCCATTAACAACACTAGTTAATTCCTATTTACCTGTGTCTCTGAGTTCGGTTACCTCTAAAAGCACATCATGGTTAGTTTCTGTTGCATCCATTTCCATCGTAAACTGCACAACTTGACTGTGGTGGGAGAAACAGAGGGTGAACATGAGGAGGTGTGTTGCTATCTAATGTTAGAGTGGATTAGTTTTTTACTAAGAAAAACAATGGGAGTAGAGGGACATGGCTCTGAAATCACCCTGAACAGCAGCATTCAAGGCAGCTCAGCTTCCCCATGTGCTGCTTTTCATTTACTCTCCACTACCTCCAGCATTGTCATGAGAAAAGGTTGGCTTTATTAGCTCTTGCAGAATGGCTGAGAATGGATAAAGCCTTCGCTGTTTGTAGTGCAACATGAGCACTCTGAAGCCACTCTGTTTGGCCTTTCTTTTTAGTTCAGCTCAGGCTTACAGATGTTCCATTTAAAAATTCACATATTTTCAAAATCCTTTTTTTGGTGACAAATATTCACATTTGAGTAAAAAAGTTGCTTTTAGGTTTTTAATGTTTGTGTGTAAATAAGTTGAGCATAAAAAAAGTAAAAACAAATCCCCTTCTAGTTAGTGCTGTGTTGAAGGGTAATTTCACTTCATTTTTTTTACCCTCGCTTCACATTTCTTCAAAAGTCTATAAAAACTAAGGCTTCAAAATCTGGACTAGATTATCCAGCAGTAAATGCAGATTATTATAAAGCAGTTTGTGAGGATTTATATATTTTAGCTATCAAAACTTCTATATATATAATAGTGTTTACACTTAACCTAGATTTATCTAAGAATCACAAGTCAAACATTAATCCAAAGTCAAGGACACAAAAAAAGCAACGATTACACTTAGTTTAGTTTGGAAGATTGTGTGTTCAGACATTGCATATATTCGTATTTTCTTTGTAAAAGATTTTTTAGTTAAAATAATATCAGACAAAATTAATCTGAATGGATATAAAGTACACTGTTAAAACATCAAGCCCTCCCATTTTAACAGCCTGTTAAAGGTCATAAAAAACAGTACTTTGAAGAAGGAGGTTTAATGTTGCTAAAACAAGCTGCCAGTGTCACAAGTTCTTTTACATCAGTTTTAACACTAAATATGCATCTTAAAAGTGAATCAAACATGGCAGAAATAACCTGGAAAATGTGCCATGGATGATATTCTTAGAAGCCAAAAAGTCTACCATTAAATTTCTATTACTCCAATGGCCTATTGCAAACCAGCAGGCGCACCTGTTTGGAGGGGCCTAGTAAAGGTCAGAAACTGAATTAGAGTGAAATGCAGTGTGATGACCTTAGGTAGTTTACTGATGATCAAACCGTATCCAATGTGGCTAAAAGTATTAAATATGAAAGTGCCAAAATCCCTCCATAGTCCAAATAACTGTTTAAAGCAGTGAAGGATGGAGAAAACAATTATTTAGGGGCAATTATTTTTAAGCAGAGGGCCCGTTTTCTATATTAGCTAAGGATACTTTGTCTGACTTAACAGTTAGGAAGCAAGACGTTTCATAATAAAGTGCAAAAATACCAACAAGCAGAAGAAACGTGCAAAATAACAAACCTACAAAGCGCTACAGCTGCTGGTTCTATCAATTAATTTTAATCCATGAAAAAGCCTCACTAGAAGTTGAGTTGTGATGTGACATAACAAAGAGAAAGAAATAATTAATGTTTAAACTTTTGAATTCTGAAAGTCTGGCTGAAAATGTTTAAACTTCTGAATGCTGAAAGTTTGGCTAAACCTTAATGTGGCCAGTTTATTCCAGACTATTCAAGAAAATACATGTAAACAGTAAATTCTACGTGATGGATTTTATCTCCCACCAACATGCATGAATGACCGATTAAACTGGAGCTACAGCATGCTTTCTGTGCTATAAGATAGCTGAGAGCAGATGACAAATCACCAAAACAACCGCTTTCTGGAGCCGCATGAGTCCTCCAACACACCTGCCTTTTCTAGAGTGCCTCCCTCAAGCTACAGGTTTTCCGCTGTGCTGCATGTCTGTAAAGAATCTGCATAAAACCAGATGGTGGGTAAGGCAGTAATGGTAGAGCTGGAGAGACGTCTGTTATCTCCAATGGGACCAGAATGTACTGGGCTTCCTTCCTGGTGATGACAGACAAACCGAAATGTCTCCTGCCGAAGAAAGGAGGCTCTTTGTTCAGTCAGAGCAGAACAAGGAGCAAACAGGCATGTTTGGCTGTAGGAGTCGGTGAACACAGACAGGCTGTGTGCAACAGCGTCTGCTGCTGCTGCCAGGATGGATTCTGTTGATTTTTCAAATTTCATCGTACCGTCTCCACTGAGGCTTTGGGGAAAAAATAAGGGAACATACAGAACCATAGGGAATAGAAGGTTTGGGTTATAGTAGTTAAGTTAGTCTCAAGTTCAGGACATGGAAATGGCATAAAAGGTGACCTTGGATGGTGTAGGAAGAGGCCCTCCCATATAAATGCCTACAAAGTTCTTGGCAGCCTGGGATAAAGCCGCTCTATCCTTCCAAAAGTAACTCATATCTGAATGTAAGTGACATCCCATTCTTAATAAATAGTTTTATGTGATGTTGGTCCACATTTTGGCGTGTTTCAAATCCTCTTGGAAAGTCTTCCTTTTTGAGGTCAGACACTGTGGTCTGGTGTGAACAGCTGACTCAAACTGTGTTCCAATTAAGAAGTATTTGTCACAACCCACAAGGTTGCAGTTTGCTAAGATAGTACCTTTTCTTCCATGTCTAGTGATCTGGGTCTTCTCCTTGCATTAATGACACATTTTCAGTTTTCTGGCAGATGAGACCATATTTTACTACACTGTAACAAGGTCTAATGGATTTGGTGAAGCAATGGGCCCATAGCATCACAGATCCTTTTCCACACTTCAGTGTGGGTATTAGATGCCTTTCAAAATATGTTCATACTAAACTAGGAGCTCTGTTGTCTCATCTGATCACAGCACAGTTTAAGTTCAAGAGTTTAGCAATTCACACGTTTCTCCACGATCTCTTTAACTACCAGTTTGCATGTAAGGAGTGTCTTGTAGTTGTTAAGGAGATCTGGTAAAACAAAGATAACACCTTTAGCATCACTTTTCTGTTAGTAAACATTGAAGATTATATTTATTGTGCTTATAATCTTGCCTCTAGTGCAGAATCAGAAGATAGATACAGTATGGGTCCTTATGCAGCCAAAGAGAGCTAACACGCTGCCCTCTGTATCCTAATCATACAGACAGATTGATTCATTCGTTTTTAGTAGATTGCATCAAGTCATTTAACACCTTTTCACACATCTTCACCTGCACACTTTGAATCTTGAGGTGGTGATTCCAACAAACTTAATCTGCAATAAGAACGTTTTTAGGAGCTGCAGTATCTTTATAACCTGCTTCTCTGCCTTCATCCTATTCTTTGCTTTTTCTGAAATCTGAAGTCTATTTGAGGCAACCAAGGCAAAACTATACAGATGCAACTCTTAATAAATCAATCACTAATATTTATCACAAACAACAGCTAAAAGTGTTGTGCTGGTTCCCCCCAGCAAGAGCAAAAAGCCAGATGTAGATTATTGCAATGCTGTTCACTAAGCAGCGGCTGCAGGTCCTCACAGTGAAAATGAGGCACCATGTAAATGCACTTGACATTTAGCTAAGTGTTGGGTAATACTAAATCTGGGAAATAAACATAAGTGCTATGCTGTGATTAATCACCATCTGTTCACTTTGAAACAAAACACAAACTGTGAGCTCCTTACAGTAATTGTTTCAGACATGCTGCTGCTGAAGATAAAACTCTCCAAGCTTCAGTGGTTAGTTAAAATGTAGCGATGAAATAGTCATCAAATTTTTATATTTATTTTCCAAAGGTGTACTGAAAGTGAGTGTGTCTGATCTGTGATGGCGATGGGTTTTATAAAGTTCCTACGTTCCTGAAGCTTTAGGGCAAATGTTATTTCTTCTAGATGAGTGAATAAAAAAAGGACCCTCATCCAAAGTATTTATCATAAAAAAAACGAGGACCAACAGTGAAGTAGAAGCATCTTTAAGAAGAAATTAAACATTAATTCAGAGTTAGATGTGTGTTTGAGCAACAGCTGTAAGCCAACTTTACGGGTGTGTGGCTAAATGAGAAAAAGTCTCACCCGTGTCCTTTGTCCTCAGATAACCCAGCCATTAAGAAACATAAGTGGCAATAAAGACATCCATAATTTGTAGAGAATCGTCATCCCTGCACTACACATTTTTTTTTTTGCCAAGTGCATTAATGTTTAGATATTTATTTATATTTATCCAACCTGAATGTAGATTTTGCAACCAAACAGCGTTAATCTACAGGTACATACATCTAAATCTAGCATCAGATGCATCAACTAAAACTCTCTCTTTTTCTTAGAGTATATTTCGACAGTCTAGAAATTTAGACAGTTTTTTCACATATATTTCTTTGCAAAACAGCACAAAGTAAATTGGAGGTAGAAGATCTGTGATTATCAACTGTCAAATTCTGCTTTGGATTAAAGTCTGGATTAAAGTCTGGACTTTCGGCTGCTCTACCATATGACCCAGTCCAATATGAACCATCCCACTGCAGCAGTGGGTGAGTTCCTACTGGGAGATGAATCTTCATCCCTGACTTTTCCAGCCTCTATCAAAGTTTCCTCTAGCATGACTTCACAGTGGGGATTTCATCTAAAGGATGATTTGAAATATAATTTCAATTGCACTACCTTCCGGCTGCTTCTGAAGTTAATACTTTCCTAGTCCAGCCTGTCAGGTTAGGCATCCTACTCAATCTTGGCAGGTTTGTAGGTTGGTTTCTTTTTTGTTTGGTAGACTGACAAGTTCTTTGAGATGTTCCAAGCTTGGAGTATCTTTTAATTACCCAACCCTACCATAAACGTACCCATAACCATCCTCCTGACCTGTCTTTACTGTCTTTGACCTGCTCTTTACTTTACATTATGTCGTTTGTTCACTTCTACAACAAATCTTATTTTGGGGTTTAACAACAAATGGGCCTTAATACAAATATGTGCACCTGTCATTGGCAGTTGGTATGTGACAAAAATATCCAAATAAAACATGTTTCAGTTTAAGGTTGTAACAACAGAAAACTGGGAAACAAAAGTAGGGTTTTAAATTATTTTACAAGTTTTCACTACCTGTTTAATTTACATTTAATATTAGCAATGCTAAAGTGATTGAGGAGCAAATTTTATTTGCAAGGAGACTGATAAATAGCAATAAAATCAATAGGAACTATTTTGTTTGGGCATCCAAGTGAAAAGCTGTAAAAGCCTCACCGTCTTTAAGCTTTGCCACTCAAGTGTGAATGAAAAACCTGATTAGAAGTACAAGAAGAACGTTAGTCCAACAAGGCAAAGGCAAATTTAACCTAAGTTATAGTATCAGTCATACTGAATCAAAGGGTCATTTAAACAGAAACAATGGATTTGGGTGTCAGAGGAGTATCACATGACCATGGTTATATTTTCCACTGTAGCCGACAACTAAGTGACTAGGTTGAAGCATTAAAAAACAAAAGAAAAAACACAACCTTTGTCTGTTGTGCTACTTGCTTGACAGAAAAAAGCGGTTATTCAGAACAAAAACTTTTAAAAATAACCCCTTTGTGTAACATGACCTGCCCATAGCAGTGTTGCTTTTTTCTATGCTTCTTGGTTTAACCTGGAGTTTAGTGAAACCCTCATCCTAACGAGCAAACTGAAATCCTGACTAATGTTTTAGAAGAGCTGTTCTTACCGTTCTGCTGCTGTTCTGTGTGTAAGGTGTTCTGGAGGTCTGTGGTTGTTCCACCTGCCTGCTGTTACTGTGGATCTAGGGCTTTACCTGGAGTCAGGTGTCAGATGCAGCCTAACTCCCTCCACTATGTGTGTTTTTCTGAGTGCATGCACGCAGATAGAAGAAGGGCGTTGTAAAAAAACTCTTAATATTCTCACTAACAATGCATTTGATTGCGCCCTTACTGTACTTTGACTGGAATATAAAGTGACATCGGTGAAGGGGAGCAGCAGTGCACATGTGTATAGAAAAGGAGCACATGCGCAGACTTGGTAGAGGAGGTGTGTCTGCAGAGAACTGCCTGAGGAGAGAGAGGCGTCCTCCTGTGTCTGTTTGTGCCTCCGTGCTGAGGAGGCACAAAGTCACACTTTGTTTCCTCGTCAGATAGCCTGTGCAGGAGAACAGAGTGGCATTCATCATTTCTACTGACTGATGCATGCAAAGGCTTTCATTGTGTCTCCACAGCAATATGCACGTGTGATTATAATGGTTTTTAACACAAGCCACAGCTGCTTAACGGCATTATGGCCACAAACATCTAGTATATTAAACCTCTCAGATGCTGCTGCTTTCAGATTCTGCCCTCTAGCTGCAGTAAACAAGTACAGCATATAGGAAAACCAATATTTCAGTTTCCCCATTATGAAAAAACAAATAACTTAAAGCTTTAGGTTCTGTAGCACCCAGCTGAATCACACCCTCACTATAGAATGAATCCCCACTAATGCCTGTAAGAGTTACCCCTCCTCTCTGCAGTTTTGGCAGGATCACACTGTGGCTTCACAGGGATATGCTAATGACAAGGCTTTACCACCCTGACTGCTGCTTATATTAGAGCAGCACAGCTCTTCAAAGACAGACGGCTTTCTGACAATGTGCAATAAACAAACATGCCCTCGCACCAGTTGGTCACAGGTTCACACATCCACAGCTGACACAGGCTCTTAACCTGAATAAAAAGCACGAGCCCATAGCGATAGCAAGTCAAAGTTGGGATATCTTACAGACTCCCCTTGCAGAAAGGCCACCTTTTACAGCCGTCTGTGGGAATATTCAACCTACATCCCTTATTGGTGGAATAAGACATATGTCTGAAAGGACCTTGAATAAAATAAGAAACGTCTCTGCAGAATTAAATGTGAAGTAAATGTATTTTATGGCAGTCATTGTTTTCTCATGGTGATGTTCACAGTTGTTTCCTTCTTTGTATGGAGGAAAATTGCATGTTTGGCATCTGTCCAGAGCATCTTCATTCACATAATTCTGGTGTCCTTATTAAGTGACTCGTGGAAAAAGACAATGGAGCTTTCCAAGACTTTCTTCTTGCTCTACCATCTGCCTCCTGCCTACACCATCTCTCAATGTTCTTATAGGTAAAAGGGTATATTTTGATTTATTTATTTGAATAGTTCTAGGTTGTGAAAAATATGGAGATAAACAAAGATTATTAGAAATAAGAAGACTTCTGATGGTAAATACAGGGTTTAATGTTGTTAGGGTATCAGAGGAAATAGGTAGTTCTCAGATAAATATTTATGTATCTTCTTACCTTTACAGTTAGGCACATCTACTAAATTTGTTTTGTCCCTTTAAATTCTAACAAAAATGAATTAGGAATTCTTATTCTAGTGGGACAAGATGTGGGAATAAAAACACTCTTACATGGTTATAAGTCCAAGGCTGCATCAAACAGAATGGCTTTAGAAACCATTGCTGGACGTTTGCTTTGAGCTGAGGACCTCAGAGTAAATATTCTTTATATGTTAGGCCGCTGCTTGTTTGCAAATATAATACTTCCTTTGAGGATTTGATAAAGGGATTGGTTTTTAACATACTACCACCTGAAAACATGTATGTTTGTGTAAAGAGAACTCAGTATAACAGAGAGAGAGTGCAAACATTAAAGGTGAATGAGAAGTTCCACAAACACTTTACTGACGTTGTTTTTAAATGCAACTCTATCGCATGTGTATTTTGGTGTAAATTTCCCTTTTTCTTAAGGAAAAAGAACCCCAACAATAAATAAATAAATACATAAATAAATAAATAAATAAATAAAAGGAACTGTACAGAAAAATGTGGGCATGGAGGAGAGAGTGCAGTATGAAAGGTAATATGACAGATGTAACTGTTTTTTAAATGACTTTCACATTCCTATATCAATTTGAAAACATTTACTGTGTTATCATATAAATAAACAATTGTGTATGTAGTTTAGTTTATCATCCAACAGAAAAACATAAGTTCAAGCAGGAGAAATGAAGGTCCGACATTGAGAAGGCTCTCTAACTTTATATTAAACATATATCAGCTTTATGAGTACGGCGACTTGCATAGAATTGGATTCTCCAAAACCCATTAGGCTGGTTCAAACTGGTTGATGGTGTTCATTCACATGGTGGAGCCTTTGCATCCATACCCATAAACTACTCTCTATCTAAAGGGCACATCTGTGTTGCTGTGGTTGGCTCCTTGCTGCCTCATGCATCCAGCAGGTCACAGCTGCAGGTGTCTACATGTCAGTCTTCATGAAAAACCCTCAAGGACAGAAAAGGTCTATGAAACGAAGCGGTTTATTTAATGCAAGAATCATGCACAACACAAGCAGCCCTGTGAATTCACCCATGGCAAACTGCCATCTATTCTCCCTGCCTGTGTGTCTCAGCAACAAAGTCTACTGACTGGCACTGAAATACAGCCATTGATTTAAAAGGCTTTAAATGACCAATGGAAAAGCAAATCTATATAATCTTTTCCCCAACATGTAGGCCTGCACCATATGGCCTGTGTGGCTAACATCCTAACGTTTCAGATGCTGGGATTGATCTTCATACATGTAAAAAGACAGCGGCTGCCTCTAAAGACTCCATTAACGTGGACTCTAAAGGCAGCAATCAATAAGCACCAGAACCGTTAATGGCAAATTAGCGGATGCTGCCGCACGTGTCTAAGGGGGCATCAATTGCCATCCAAAAAGGCGCACCAAGAACAAAGCATCTGGCATCTGTTTCTAAGCACAATGTCCAAAACGTGATTCAAAAAAAGCAGCATTGCTTCCGTCTAATTAGTGAGAAAGTGAATGCAAATCTGCTGAGAAGCAAAACGCGTTTACGCATTTCAGGTCGCATCAAATAGCAAATATCCCATTTACAGCAAACACACACATCTGTGGGAGGGATGAGGCAGGAGATCAGTGCAGGTCAATTGTAAATGAGCAGAGGGTTGTGGTGACAAGGTCACCGGCGTCGTGCAAACGAGAAGGAAGAAAATACAGTCATCATAAACAAACAATGTGGAAGAAAAGAGAAAAATCCAAGCACCTTTGTCTGGGACGCGGTTCTTCCCTCCGATTCGCGCTGAGGTAAACCCCGGTAGCTATGGGCCCTTTTGTGTTGCTGATGCTGCGGGTGCACGACAGGCAAGACGCACGCACAGCGAGACGGTCCCGCACAGCTGTCCGCGTGCCAGGCGGAGAGAAGATGGTGAAAGGGAGGGTGTGGCTGCGAGAGCGGCGCGAGCGACGCGGAGCTCAGCGCGTCACAGTGAAAGCGCGTGCTCCTCAGGAGAAACGGAGCTGTGAATGGAAACACAGAAAGTGGGAGGAAAACAGTAAACCCTGCAGGTATGTTTACCAGTAATTTGGTTCTTTGTACGCTCTGCATACAGGTAGTTTTTTCATATAAGAGCTAAATATGAATTATTACTATTCCTTTTTAACGTCATGATATCCAAATAAATTAGATTAGATTAGATTAGATTAGATTAGATTAGATTAGATTAGATTAGATGAGCTTCATTGATCTCACAGCGGAGAAATTCACTGGTCACATATTGGCATAGTACTTAAAGAAGGTGCAAACAAGGAGGAAAAGGTGCATTAGGAATAAAAATATATATATATTAATAAAAAAATTAAAATAAGAAATAAAAAAAAAATACAAGGGACTGTCCAAAAGTCATTATTTCACAGGCAATAACTTAGACGCAGGTATATTCTATCTTAAAATTCTCAGGGGTTTCATATCCTGCTGAAAAATCAAACTTCAATGTACTTTATTTTTATTGTAAAAATAGCACAAGTGAGAGTGAAATGAGATTTTCAGACCCCTGATGTAAACCATTTTAGCCTTTTTTATTACCTATTTCCCATTAAAAAATAGGCATGGGATAGTGTATTTATATAGGCCAAAACATTGATTTTCAAGCAGATTCTTAAATTGATGGTAGACTTTGACTGGGCCATCCTAACATATTATTATGCTTTAGTCAGAACCACCTCATTGACTCCAGTCTTGAGAGCGCTTGCTTTTTTTTTTTTTGCCTTTTTCCCTCACAAGTGAAGTACAAGTGCAGATGTTGAAATAAAGAAGAAGAAAAAAAGTACAAATAAAAAATGTGAAGAAAATGAACAAAAAAAAAAACTCTAAACAAACTAGCTGTGTTTATAAAAGAACGAAAAAAGGAACAGGCACTAAACCCTGGCTGTGGAACACTAGCATTCTGTGCCTCAGAGGGCTGCACAACCATGGCTTGGGAGCTTCTACTCCAGGTTTGATATTGGAAGAAAGGTTTTGGAGCCATTGGAATAACAAATTCCCTTTGTAATTTAAGTATTTGATCACACCTCCAGCAGTTCATTTTCTTAATACTTTCACACACAGACACCCCTAAGCATTGCCTCACAAATGGAAGTTCCCATACTTAGCTTGTCCATATTAGGTTTTATAGGACTTGAACTCTGGTTTTCCTGTTTGACTTGGAAAGACAGCTGAGGTAAGATGGTTGGATAAACGTTTATTTCAACATTAGGTAATTAAAAAACATCAGAATACTAAAAAAAAACTACATTTCTAACAGAGGATGTAGTTTACCCTTGGAAGTAAAGATTTGCATAATGTTTCCAAACATTTTTTTGGTGTCATATCAACAAGACATGGGTGGTTACAAGTTTTAAAAGCTAGATGTTTTTAGCTATACTGTTTCTGTGGTTATGGTCGTTTCCATGAGAAGCCAGATAAAGTGTCCCATTGGTCGTTGGAAAGTTGAAAGAGCATGGCGAGTGCCCAGCTGTTGTTCTACACTGTCCCCCCTTAAGATATTCAGATATTTGTAAACATGTCTGGCTTTGGAAAACAGTCAAAGTCATGCTGTCTAAACTAAAACAGCAGCACCTTGAACAGGGTAATGATGTTTTAAAACTGTATTTATTAGGCTTTTAGCATATTCCTAAGCATATTCTTAACAGTTTTACTTAAATATAAACAATCTAATAAATGGTACATGAAACATTCTGTTTCTAGATTTGATCTTTTCTGTTCAAGCAAGTCTGGTTTATCATGCATGAAGGGGAGTTTTTCTCTGTAGACTTCGACTTACTTTATTGTCTTGTTGTATACACAGAGGGTGTAAAAAACAAAACATTCATTGGTATGTTTACCAGTAATTTGGTTCTTTAAATGGTTTGTTTGTACTGTTATTCTTTTCCAGGGTGGAATGATGATACACATGCAATGAATTTTAAAAACAAATTGACTGAACAAGTTTAAAGAGTCTATTACCTCCAACATGTACAGGTATGAAGTTTATTCACATTAGGGCTGTAACTAACGATTATTTTGTAATTCAATTAAACTGTCAAATATTTTTTCGATTAATATTCTGATTGCCAAAGGTTCCTTAAAGAAGACTTTTTTTTTTTTTACAAAATTAAACAAGGTGAAACTAAAACTTCTCCACTTGAGATATGGATAGAGTATATTGACAGAAGAAAAAGTATTTTTTTTTATCTTAAATGCATATATATAATATATATATATAAATATATATATATACAAATATATACATATATACAGCTATATATATATATATACAGGTATATATATACGTGTATATATACACTTAGGGCAGTAAGTATAATTACTGCCCTAAGTGGGTTGGCAGCTAAAGGCATATTTTAGAGTTTCTATACTGCAGTCAACGATAAATCAATTGCTAAATTAGTTGGCGATTATTTCCATAATCGATTACCTTTGTCAGCCCTAGTTCATGCTGAATCAAATGTGTACATACAGTTATATCCTTTCACTAATTGGATTAATAATATTTCTTCATAGAATTTGAGCTAATGGTGATATTTGATTATTTTAATGCATACAGCTTTTCAACAGTGAAATTAACATTAGCATTAATAAAGTGCACCAGTGATCAGAAGAACGTGGTGCAAAATTCAGTAGAAACAGTTTTATTCAGTTTTATTCAATGTAAACATACATAAGAGGATGTCAATTGTGTGCAGTGGTTCAGAATATAATCATTTATATACAAAACACATTATTTGTTTAAGATGCAAAAAGCTATAACTGATCTAAAAGCATGGATTAAAACTAGAGGACTTTAAGGTTGAGTTTTTGTTGTGGAACTATATGTTGGGCAAAGTTAAAAAACATCATGGAATGACGTCATATAAATAAACTACATTTCCCAGCTGTTCGTTTTTAAGGAGGAGTTTGGAGGACCACAGTGTTTACAGTGATTTTCTGTTTAAACACCAATCTCAAAATTATTTGTGACGGCAAATACATTTTCATATAAGCGACATATCTAAGGTTTTTTCTTTAAAGATTTTAGATTTTCTTAAAATATTTTATATGATTGTGGCTTTTATTTTGAAAGTATATATTTGTAAGTAAGAAATGAACCGAAATAATAATAAAAACAGAAGTGGACGTAAATTGCTTTATAGCCTACAGTAGAGTAAAAATATATATTTATGAGTATTTTCCGCTGTTTATATAAATAACTTTCTGGGACTTTATTGTGATAATCTGGACAGGATTTTCAATTCAGTTACAACTGACTTTGAGTGTGAGTACGTGGTATGGAACAAGCGGAAACTTCCACTGAGCTGCAAACGTTTGAGGTGAGGAAGCTGGCAGTCACCAAACTGACCGCCGGGTCACTTTAATGATGCTTCCACGCAGACAGGACCACGGAAAGAGAAGGAGCGACGGAGCGCGCGGCGCGTGGAGCCCGGTCCGCCGCAGCTCCGCCGTACTGCCCTCGGTGCTAACCTTCCTGGTGATCGTTGCCTCCGGAGGCCTGCTGCTCATGATAGAAAAAGGAATGCTGAACAGCATGGAGACTCCTTCACCTCGGGGAAGCCCGAGGCGGCTGGATCTCAGCAGAGAGACCCGTAGACACATTTCAGACAGCGTGGACGTGGAGTCCCAGGTGAGTTATTTTGATTCTACTTTTAAAGTTCTTCTAAACAGACTTCAGATTTGCTTTTTTGTCAGAAATATGAAAAAAAAAAGTTATCTTAAGGGATGTTTTCAGTTGTTTATTTGTTGGATTTTCATTTTGTTACACAAACACAACATTCTGAACTACGGAAGAGGATTAGGGCCACTGGGAAAAAAAAAGTTAACTGATTTTTAAATTTTATTTCAGTTTAGTATGTAGAATTCTAACTTTTTTTCTCAGAATTCTGACTTTTTTATTGTCAGAATTCAGTCAGAATTCTGAGATTAAAGTCAGAATTCTGAGATTAAAGTCAGAATTCTGAGAAAAAAGTCAGAATTCTGACTTTTTTTATTGTCAGAACTCAGTCAGAATTCTGAGATTAAAGTCAGAATTCTGAGAAAGTTAAACTGTTAAACTGAAATAAAATGTAAAAATCAGTTAACTTTTTTTTTTTCCAGTGGCCCTAATCCTCTTCCGTACTGAACACATATGTAATCTCAGAGAAAAATAAATGATTGCACATATTAAGGATGTATACGTAGATTGAGAGGAAAATAAACTTAATGTAACAAAAAAATCTAGATAAACAAAATATTAAAAATAATAAATACAATAAAATAAGTCAAGTGCATTATTGTTATCAATGTTATCATAAAAAAAGACAGGTAAACACGATCACAAGTGATGCGTTAGGTCAACATGGGATATTGCATAGAAGGAAATCAGGGGATGATCAAGGGTCCCTATATTTGAGCAAACAATTTACCTTTCAGGTGGTTTATTGCGGTGCTCCAGTTGCATTGTGTCATTCATTACTGTTTTAAACAGATTAAATGTAGCTGCTGTAGTTTGATTTCAGTTGAGCAGAATACATCTTTGGCTACATAAGCAATTATACCAATCCTTTTATTGGCGATCGGGTTTAGAGTATTATCTGAATCTGTACCAAAGAGATTAAATAGAGGTGAGAGTTTGAATTGAATTGGCAAGAGTTTGATTGTAAGACTATGCACTTACATTACAAAAATGTTTGAGTTTCTTGCATTTCCAAAATACATTCTAGTGTCTTTTACAAACACACTTGAAGATGCAGTAGGATACATTTAGCTAAGACGGACTGGTGTTAAGTGCATTCTATGCATTAAATTGTAATTTTGCTCAATGATTTTGTTTCAAGATAAAGAAACAAAAACATTACCACACATGTTGGTCCAAAGCTCATTATCAAGATCTTGTTCTAGATCTTTTTGCCATAGAGTTCTTAGTGAGCTATTATAGTCTAGTAATACCCCAAAGATCGCTGAGGTCTTCCCTTTCAGCTTTGTGGAGTTTACCATGATTTCCTCAATTGTTGATGAAGTAAAGGACATTTACCCTGACTTTTCCAATGTGGTGGATATTTATAGAAGTTTTGGTTTGGGATGTCAAATTCTGATCTGAGGTCTACAAAACCTTTTAAGTGATGTTTTCTTAAATTTTACAACAATTATACGCTCCTAACAAAAAGGGTTGCAAAAGTTTGAGGTTCCCAGACAGGAAATCAACAAATGTACGGTTTGGCGTTTTTGTTTTCTGTTAAAATTTCCTAATAGCAAAAGTCAAGTCAAGAATGATTTAAAATCCCAGGAAAAATGCATTGGATATCTTTCCACACACTCAGTATTTAAATATGTCCACAGACTTAAAGGTATTTTATGGTAGACCATCAAAAAGTTTGTAATTCATCATGCAGAAAGCTTAGGGATGATAATGTTTGAAGGTTAAAGTAGGATTAGGTTATAAAACAATATTTCAAGCTTTTATAATTCACAGAGATCCTGACAATGCGAAGAGTACATGGACAGAGACATGGGCATTGACCTAAACTGGTTGTCACTAATGAGGCTGAGCACCATAGTGTCATCTGCAAACTTGATGATGGCATTTGAGCCATGCACGGGTCTGCAGCAGAGGTGGCAAAAGTACTCACTTTCCGTACTTGAGTAAAAGTACAGATACTTGTGTTAAAAAATACTCTGGTAAAAGTGGAAGTACTGATTAAACTTCTTTACTCAAGTAAAAGTAACAAAGTACAGGCTTGTAAATTTACTTAAAGTATAAAAGTAAAAGTAGAAACCACTTTTTTTCATGCCGTTGCCTACATTTTAAATGGAAGTCTGCCAATAGGACTAGATCTCCGTTGTGTTCATTTTCAATCATCTCGTCGTCCATGCTACTATGCTAACGCCACCAAGCTGCAATGATTTCCCACGAATCAATACCGCCGAATCTGTCGATTCATCTTGTAGTGGTTCGTCAAATGCAACGTAGATTCCCATCCAATTAGACTGAATTTGGTATTTGTGAGAAAACGGCTCGCCAGCTCCCGTCTCACGTTAGAGGAGGAGTAAGCAGATGATTTGCAAAAAGGTGGTAAGAACCAGCGGACAACAAAATTCCAGTTCAAAAGCGTATAGCGGTTTATTTACTGGTGCAACGGTGAAGACAAAAAAACCAAAACAAACAAAATACTTTCAAATAAAGAAAACAAAACCGGCCATTGCAGGCCATACAAAACACTGACAGCCTCACAGCAAGCTGACTTTAAATATAGTCTCTCTATGCAGACCTTCAAAAGCAGTTTCTCCAACCAGTCTCTCCAAGCAGCCCCCCTAAGCCATTGGGAGTGTGCCCGTTAAATAGACCCACCAATAATCAGCCAATTGAGACAGCCCAACTAAACAGGCAAATCGCCAATAAAGCACAGTTAGCATTGTAGAAAAATAAATACAGACAATAGCATCATTCATACAAAAACATACATATTTATTAAATAATTTAACCATACTAACATTACCATTTCACCTACTTATTACCATGCAAACAATTATTACATACATTGAAATCCCACTTAACACCTCTGCCCCCTAATAGTCTTTTCCAAAGCCATGGGACAATGGATAAGAGACTGGCTCCGATGCGGTACGTGTTTCCACACGGACCAGTATGCTGACGGACTAAGGGAAGAGAATGTGTAATTTGACTGGGAAGTTTTAATGCCGACTACGGAATGTATATTAAAGCTGTCGCAGTGGGTACCTTCAGAGTTTGCTACGCTGGTGAGTAAGTTAAGTGTTGAATTAAAGGCGACGTTGTAATTTCGGAACTAGTGTAAATTACCGGGTGAATTGTTTGGAACTGCCGCCGCCATGACGGTCGGTCTGTGGTGCATGCTGGGAAATGTAGTGAAGGATGTGACGCTGTGTGTGATAGACGGCGTCTACATTTTGGGAACAGAGGGGGAAAACTGCTCCGTTTTCACAGAATTGATGACGTGAAAAATAATAACGGTAACTCCATTGAAATGATTCAAAACTAAAGTAACGACCCAATTTTTTAAAATGTAAGGAGTAGAAAGTACAGATATTTGTGTAAAAATGTAAGGAGTAGAAGTAAAAAGTCGCCATGAAAATAAGTAGTAAAGTAAAGTAAAAATATCAGAAAAATCTACTTGAGTACAGTAACGAAGTATTTGTACTTCGTTACTTCCCATCTCTGGTCTGCAGTCATGGGTGAGGAGGGAGTAGAGGAAGGAACTGGTGATGGTGGATAAGAAGTGGTTGTCCAGTCAGACACTTTAAGGCCGATTGGTCAGGAAGATACAAATTGAGTTACACATGAGTGAACTAAAGCTGAGCTCTGTGAGTTTGGTAATGAGTTTTGATAGGAAGAGTTAAAGAGTTAAATACTGAACTAAAGTCTAAGAACAGCATTCTGGTGTAAGTGTTCTTACTGTCCAGATTGCAGCGCTATAGGGACTGCATCCTCTGTGCTCCTGTTCTGCTTCTATGCAAATTGGTGGGGGTCCAGTGTGGGCGGGAGGCAGGATCTGAGGTGAGGGCTAACGGATGGTAGTCATTGACTCTGGATGGGTTGGAGGTGGGACGATGGAGATGGATTTGAAGCAGGTCCACCTCCAGGTCCCCAGAGCACACTCCGAGGACATGTCCAGGGACGCCATTAGGACTCGCAGTCTTGAGGGCTTTAATCCTGTTCAGAACACTTCTACTTCATGTATTCAGATGATTTTTATGTTCATGCATCATAGTAAATAAAAGTATATGCTCCCATAGCACTCTAAGTAAAAAAAACAACATTCACCTCAGTTTTACAAAAGCAGGTTCAGGGCAGTGGCGGCTGGCCCATAGGGGGCGCTGGGGCACCGCCCTCCCTGATAAGAAGAGAGAAACGTAAAATATATTTTTAGAAATTAACTCATAAATGTCAGTTTTACTCTCTAGACTGTGTACCTATAAGCAAAACAAATTATATAAACTACATTTCCCTATCTACTGTCATTAATTTGTGGATTTCCACAGACAGACTCCTACCGTCTCTGTTCTGGGGGCTGTGATCAGACTGACCCACATTTGCAGAGAATCTGTCAATCATGTACTATTGCTAGGTGAATTTAATGGCCAATCAGCGTCTCGGAACTTTATGGTCTTGGGGCGCTGAAAATACTGCGTTTTAACAGGCTTCTGAACCCAAGCGCAGGTGCAGACAATTAGAGGGAAGATGGCGAATGTAACGAGCGAGATGCAGCTTCCACCAAATTCGGTGAGATCCTTATTTATCTACCCGTTTGCCAGAACATCCCTGTTGTATGATATGAACATTTCATGTCATGGTTATTGTGACTGTGACGAATCCACCTCGTCGCTTAAAACAACCTCTCTAACTTTGCGCGCCACACACACATTCCTGTTATACTGTGTTTGTGAGGACCAATACACTCGCGCTGAGACCAGTAGCTCCATTAACTTAAAACACACAAGCTGTCCTGGTTACCTGCTGGCATATTGGGGTGCACACTTAATATTTCAGTGGGGTTAGCCGTGTGTGTGTGTGTGTGTGTGTGGGTGTGTGTGTGTGTGTGTGTGGTGGGTGTGGGTGTGTACGTGTTTATGCTATGGGGACTTGTCATCTTCAGTCTGGCTGCATCTTTGCTGGGTTCAAACCCAGTTTGGTGTAATTGAATAAGTCAATGAATCTGTGTAAAAGAATTAAGTTGTAAAAATTATTTGTTTTTGTACATCAATTGTTTGTGGAGGTAATATATGGACAAAACTGATTAATGAGAAGAAATCAGAAATAAGAGAGCCTGAGGGGAGGGGCTTAAACTATTTAATGAGGGCTGTGGGAAGAAAAGCGGCAATTTTTGTTTTCTGTTTCTTTGTTACATTGCTGGTAACTGGAGGGAGGCTGAGGCCCAGAGTATCTTGTATATGTTTAGTTTCTTTTGCACCCTGTTTTGAGTTTTTGAGCTCAATAAGTCACCAACACCGGTAACCCGACTGAGCCTGGATTCTTGGAGGCCAAAGAACCCCGTCACAGTGACCCAAATCATCACTGTTACTGTTATTATATAGTAAATTAAATCATTACTGTTAAATTGTATGTATTGTCCAATTGTTTATTTGAATTCTTATTCCGGATTAGTTGGAGACATACACTAGGCTATATCAGCCCCACCAAAAATATTTTTCACCAGCCGCCACTGGTTCAGGGAGAAATTTAACCTGCAGCTCATGGCACCGTCCTAGGCTTAAATTGCTGCAAACATTTGATAAAATTCATAGAAATGCATAGAACATATTTTGACACTTTCATTGTAGTTTCATAAATTGGGGGAAACGTTGTAGGGGTATGAATAATTTCGCAAGAAATTGCTAACTGGTGGAACATATGTAATTAACCTGCATTTATGTTCACATTCAGATCCTCCAGGAGATCCGGAATCGCACCATCAGGACCATGTGCAGCCAGAAGAACATGCCCCACAGCATCTGGACACTGAGCCCCCTGCAAAGGAAGACAGTGCTGCAGCACATCCTAGTGAACGACGAGTACCGTTTCCTCTACTGCTACGTTCCCAAAGTGGCGTGCTCCAACTGGAAGAGAGTCCTGAAGGTCCTGAGTGGAGCCCTGGAGAGTGTGGATGTCAGCATCAAGATGGATCATCGCAGCGACTTGGTTTTCCTATCCTCCCTGAAGCCAGAAGAAATCCGCTACCGCCTCAAGAACTACTTCAAGTTCATGTTTGTGCGAGAACCCATGGAGCGACTACTTTCTGCCTACAGAAACAAGTTTGGAGAGATTGAATCCTACAAGAAAAAATATGGGGTAGAGATTGTAAAGCGGTACAGGAAGGGCCATGCCAAGGATGCGTCTGTGACCGGAGATGATGTGACCTTTGAAGAGTTTGTCCGCTACTTGTTGGACGAGGATGTGGAACGCATGAATGAGCACTGGATGCCTGTTTACAACTTATGCCAGCCTTGTGTTGTTTCTTATAATTTCATTGGCTCTTATGAGCACCTTGAAAGGGACTCTGAGTATGTGCTCCAGCGCATCGGTGCGCCGCCTTTCATTCGCTTCCCTGAGAGACAAACTTGGTACAAGCCTGTCACGACAGAAACATTACACTATTACTTGTGCACTTTGCCACAGAAGTTCCTCAGGGACCTTCTACCCAAATACATTTTAGACTTTTCTCTATTTGCTTACCCCCTCCCAAACACAACCACTGAATACTGTCGGCATTAAAAGATGCCCGCTTTTTTTTTATAGATATTCTTCTTGGACTATTTTTATACCTTAGGGGAAATAAAACGTAAATAAAAAGTATTTTCACATTTCATACATGTCACAATGATTTAAAAACCACTAAAGTGTCAATATGAGGTAATGAGACATTCCTGAAACTTCATAAAAACTGTTACAGTGAATAGACTGATTCATTTACTGCTATTGGACGATTGTACCGTAGGTCTGTGTTTCATAGGTTCTGGGGAAATGTTGTGGTTTAGCAGGCTAAACACAGTTTCACCTTAAGGTTTGCATACAAACATTCATTGGTATGTTTACCAGTAATTTGGTTCTTTTAATGGTCTGTTTGTAGTGTTTTTTTTTCCAGGGTGGAATGATGATACACATTCAATGAATTTTAAAAATAAATTGAACAATTTTAAATGTGTTTATTACCTCCACCTTCACATTAGGGCCGCAATTAACGATTATTTATTGTTTTGCTAATAATCGGATAGCCAAAAGTTCCTTAAAGATTTTTTAAAAAGAAATTAAACCAGTTAAAACTAGAACTTTTCGACTAGATGAGTTCTGGATAGAGCATATTGACAGAAGAATAGGTTTTTTTATCTTAAAAAGTCTCAACACTCCAGTTTACGATTAATCAGTTACTAAATTAGTTGAACATTTCAATAATCGATTAATCTGATACATTTTGTCAGCCCCAGTTCACACCGACTCAAATGTGTACATAGTTATATCCCTTCACTTATTGGATAAAAATTATTTTGTAGAACTTGAGCTAATTGCGATATTTGATTACTCCTTTTACCCAAACTGTTGATTAGACCTAATTAAACCAAAATTTTTCTGGTATGAATCAGACGTTTAGGCATAGTCCAATAAATGTAGCATGTAGTATTTCACATTTAGCTGTTTGAGACATGTAGACAGTTGGAGAAAGTTAAAATACTACTGGCAGCAAAGGAGACCCTTAGTGGGATTCTGCCACTTCCATGCTTGACAGTTGTTATGGTGGTCTTGGGTTATTATCTTGACCCCTAATTAGTCTTCCTCACGGTATTGCTCCCATCTTTGTTAGTAGCAACACAATCAATCAATGTTTTAAGGAGATTTATGTGAAGGAGCACAAACTTCTTAATTAACTCTTTAGTCATTGATTATGTAAAACTGGCTTTTATTTAAACAACATTGTTGTTCCTCTTTGAAGCTTTGAGCAGCCTCCATTTCCTTTCACGTGATATTAATAATCTGTTCAGATTGAAGCTGGATAACTGGGTGTTTTAGCCTGGAAATGATCCCTAACAGACACCAAAACTTGTTTTAGAATAGATAAGCAGCTCAATGTTCATCTTTTTAAATGATCCAACCCTAGCTGGACGAAAGAAAGAAACCAAACATTTTTTAAAAGAGCTCTACTTCATATACAACATAAATAATGCCAAAAACAAAACTTGATGGCTACATTTAACCTATTCAAACTTTGCACCTAATTCTTTGTTTTAAAATAAATTTTGTTGTGTTGTATTATCAGTTCTTTACCAAAAAAAAGAACAATACAAACAAATCACTTGAAGCACCCAGATAACAGGACTTTTAAACCAATGGGTCAATCTGATGCTGTGAACTCAGATGTTTATTTTCCCCTGACTTTTCATGTAATGCTCAACTGTTTACAATTTAATAAAACTGAGAAACATGTAAAAGCCTTTTTTTATTTTTAATTAATTTATTCAACAAATAATTTATTTAGAAAACGACAATTTACTTATATATATATATATATATTTACACACTCACCAACATGTGAAACATTTCATTAACAGTTTATTGGTTAAGGCTATGAATAAAATTACTTTCAGACGTGTGAAAGTGCCTGATACCAGGTGTTATAAAATATGAATATATATAAACGAAAATAAGTAAAGGTCTGTGCAACTTCATGTCTTTAGAAAGGTCAGTCCTTGAAGCTAACGCTCCTGAAAGGGAGAAGAAAAAGGAGGTGGTCAACATTTAGTTACTCAGTAATAAAAAGTTCATGGTCTTAATGCCCAAACCTTACTTGTCTGTAGACTTGTCTGTAGATTTGTCTGAGGAGTGCTCTTGAGTTCGGAGGATGGAGCGTTCTGCAGAGGTGTGATGAGAGCCTCCAGATAAGCTGAGAGGAGACGAGCTTTGCAAAGATGAAAATGACAATCCCTGTCTGCGCATCTCCTGAACCGCTCTTTCTCTGAGGAGAGTTGAACAATGCCACATATCTTAGGACTCTACATTTAATCACATTTAAGTAATTGAATTTCAGTACTTATTACTAGTACAGCAAGCTGACACCAAACCTTAGATCTACAATCCTTAACATCTACAGCAAAGTATTTACTAAATGACCAGTAATTGTTACAAAGTACCTGCAGTTTTTTCTTATATTTGAATGACCAATTGACTGTTAAAACTCAGCAATTAAAAAAAATTATGGTTGTCAACATAGAGGACAAAATAATTTTAGAAATAACAAAATCATGGTTCAATATGAGCCATTTCACACACCTGTAAACATTTATCTGATGAGCTTATATTTAATGTATAGGATTTCCACAAGAACTACTTATAATTTAATTCCTGAAACAGAAAAATCTTCACCTTAGAGCAGAAAGAGGACAAGTCTTTGTCCTTAAAAGCAAACAGGGATGGATCAACAACTAAATGAAACAGAATAATGCTTTTCTATAAATCTTCCTCATTGAAAGTCAAAGCTTTAGGCTAAGGTGGTAAATGCTGCATATAAACATATATGCCTAAAAACTACAGAAGCATTGTTTAAAAATATATAGTCATACATGTAAGCAATTGCTATAAAAATAGTTTCCAGCTTTGTGACCAGAGTGATTTGTTGCAGTTCCTGGATCCCAACGCATCAAACTTTTAGATTTTTACTATTTTAAGCCAAATTTTAATATGAATAAATAGGTTCAATATTAATTTAGTGCAGATTTTTATTCAGCGTTTGTCAAACTTTAAATATGGAACCTGTAAAAAAACGAAGTGCGAAAGGAAGAAAGAGAGGCTAACGGATGGAAGTATGAATGAACGAAAAATGAACATGTATGGATGAATAGAGATTGATGGATTATTAGAAGGTTATGATGACATAATTAGACAGGAAGAAAAACATGGATGGAAAACAGGGATAGACTGGCAATGATGGATGGATCCATTAATGAACAAATAGATGGACATATTGATGACTAAATGGACAATAAGACAGGGAATAAAAATATTTTTCCAGTCTTTATTTCATTTTTCTATTATGTTTCAGGCCTGCAAATCTTTCCAAACCTTTTCATATGGCAGAAACCGTGAAATATAAACATTATATATGTTGCTTAATATCTTCCATACATTTGTGTCGGCAAGTGTTACAATGGTAAAAGTTATTCTCTAAATAAAAATGAGCTCACCGTTCGAATCGCTCAGCGGTCAGCTGTCGTTTCAGCACATCCATTTCTGTCTGCAGTTGAGACACTTTTCCACGGAGCTGGGACACCTCTCTGGCGTGCTCTACACTTTATGCACATAAGAAAAAAGCATTCAGTGTCCTCTTTAAAAATATTTTATTGCACTCAGCTTGGCAGAATGACTTGTTCTTTACTTTTTGCTGTCGGCCACAGTGAGCCTGTCACGCAGGACTTTCAGTTCAGACTCTCTCTCACTGGCAGTCAGATGAGTCTGGAACTCCTTCTGCCGGTTGGTAGACAGCAGTGTCTCAAGGCTGCGCACTGTCAGCCTCTCACTGGCTAGTTGTTTCTTCAGGACCTCAACCTCTGAGCGAACGTCTTCCAGTTCCCCACTCACCTTAAAACAGGAAATATACAACCGCTATAAAACTGAACAACAGATGCAGAAGCAGCTCAGATGTCCTCCTTGTGGAATGAAGCTTGTTTCAGTAATGAGTGGTAGTGCGATTAAGGAAAGCATAGTGAGTCTTACCCTCTCTAAGTCCATGCTCTTGGAGGTCAGCTGTCGTGTAACAAGGTCCTTCCCGGAGTCTAGTTTGACACAGAGCTCCCTGACAGAGGCTAGATCTGAAAGGAGAGCGGCCTTCTCCTCCTGTGCTTTGTTCAGCTCCTCTTCTAGTCGGGACATCCCACGAACCAGTGAGGACACCTGGGCTTCATAGGCCTGTAGGGCCTGCATGTGCTGGGAGAAAAAATGGGGGGAATGCTAAATTAACACAACGATGCATTACATATATGCTGGCAAATAATGTAGATTTGTTTATTTACCTGTTGGATCTCTCGCTCTTTTTGCCTGAGTGTGTCCCGGAGCTGCCTGCGCTCTGTGTCCGAGGAGAGCAGCTCGAGGCGGGTGGAGTTATTCAGGCATTCAGCCTGATGCAGCTTCTGCTCCTTTTCCTGCATGCCAGAGTGGGCCATCCTGAAGCGCTCCAGTAAATCCCTGTTCTCCTGCTCCTGGGGACCATTAGTTACCAGTTACCTCCTGGGTTTACAGAAACTAACAGAAGAAATTAGAAGATTCCCTTACCTTTGTGGCCATTAGTTTCTCTATTCTGGATACTTCCGAAATATATGAGTGGACCCTCAACTTTAACTCATCCTTCTCATGCAAAGCCTCCTCCATTTCTAAATGTACCGCCTGGACAGAGAGACATTTATAGTAAGCATTTTCTTTCTCCAATATATTTTATTGAATTTTCTCTTTCTTGATACAACAATTACAAACTTAACCATGTAACATGTATTTATACACACATTCATTCATTCATTCACATTTTAGTTAGCATTTTCTAACTTTCTCACACAAAAGACAAAGATATGACTTAATATTAACACCTACTTGGTTCTCCCTGGTCATGGTGGCCAGGTCATCCTGCAGCCTGCTGTTTTCTCTTAGCGTGACTTCTTTGTCTCTCTTGAGGGCGGCCAGCTCCTCCTGAGACGCATCCAGCTGCCTCCTCAGGCTGCTGATTTCCCGTTCACGGCTCTTTAATGCTCCTTGCAATTGACTGAATGGAAGAAAGAAATCCCAGATGCTTTATTAGCATCTTACTGTGGCGCATTTACTGCAGAAATATGGAGCAACTAAAAGCAGTACTTACGCAAGGGAATTGTCCATATTTTTGACAGTGAGTCTCACATCGTCAAGAGTTTTTTCCTGTGAAGATGTCAGAGAATCGTTCTTTAGAATCACCCACTCCACGAATTTATGAATCATTTACTCCAGATTTTTACATAAATATGGAGTACGAACCAAATATAAATAACAGCCATAGCTGGTAAATCTCTGATCAAATTTCATAAAGCTTGATTTTTGCTTTTATATGTTCGACATCTAATAACCAATCAGCTAATAACGTTTCAGGCTCTGCATTTAGGTTACTTTGACACTGCTGGCAAATGCCACCTAAATCTTTTTTTGCCCATATGAGACTCATGTTTGGTGTTTTCATAGAAGTCAGGACAGCCCAATTCCGATCTTTTCGACTCCCCAAATCAGCTACATCTCCAAAATCTTTTATAGCATCTTGTATCTGAACGTTCATGGCGCATTTTAACCAACGTTCACGTTATCATCCAGACTATGACTGCTGTTACTTCCAGGAACAGTGGGCTGATGTGCATCATCAACGCTGTCCTTCTGTGCATGCTGGTCACTTTGAGTAAAAAGTTCAAATTGTAATTTGATGGCGGCTGCATTTAAGTAGCAGTCTGAACGACCATGCAGGGAGAAAAAAAGAAAATCATATTTCATAAAAAAAGTGAATATAAATAATACTGTAAAACCTGCAGTGTGAACATGGATTTAAATACAATGAACATCACAGTCACCAACTTTTTAGATAAAACATGACTCATATTTACACTATAAATCATTTTGATGTTATTTATGTTGCAAATCGTCACAAACAAACATCTTGGCTTTCTCATGTTAGCCCCACTCATCTGGTGTGAAAGCAGTTCTGCTGTGTTTGGGATCACTAGCCTCCTGACAAACCACCAGATGTGCAGATTCCAGCACTCTCACTTTTGAAACTAAGAGCTAGCTTTACGTTCTGCAGAAATTTCAAAACACCAACTCTTTTCCGCTGGTTCAAAATAATCTCCAAATCATTTACATCCTGTTTAGATAAGCTGTCTTTGTATATCTAATGTCCTAACTTTGCTTCAACCGTAAACAACCTCGTTGCATGTTGTCCTAAAATTGCAGTGCATTTAGATGATATGTCATCGAACTGCTGTGTTTGTGCCCACTCTGCAATTAGGGCCGACACCAATGTTTCTGCTGAATTCAATGCGCAGATCAGCGTGGACAGCTCACACACCTGCAGGGCTGCATTAAACAGCACTAACTGCTTTAGCTGGGCAACCAGCTACTTGCCTCACATCACAGTAACATTGGTCCATTGCTGGTCATCATGTTCTCCACCTTAAAAACATGAGTCTGTATCCTTGTTTTGTCCCTTACCTTATCAGCGCACATCTTTCAAAGATAGGGCTGGGCAACTAATTGCATTTGCAATATATATCCGCAATTTAAAAAAAGGCAACTTTCAAATGCAGATGCACTTTTTTTTTTTTTTTTATCCAGCATTTTATATGTTTAAAGTGGGTTTGTTGTGGGAAAAAAAAAGAAACTCCCAGCTTGCACACAGATCTATGGATGCAAGTAGAAGTAAATGCCAAACAAAGGT